ACCTAACCCTTGTTCCGGATCACTCGTCCACTACAGTCCCTTCCCCTTCATCCAATATTCAAATTAATCCATTTCATCTAATCTCTCCCTTCATCCATCCTTTGTTTCCCACATTCTCTTTTCCTCTTTTTTTTGCATTCATTGGTCGCCGACCAAATGTAATTAGCCGCGTGGAAGCGGAATTTTCTTTCCTTTCCATTCTTTTCCCTCTATCACTCAATGTATCATTTCCCTAATTCACTCAATGTTTTTTTTCGCCTTGAGGCGGGTATTTTTCAAACAGCAAACTTTGATAGCGATCGATTGACGTTTAACGATTATACTCGTTTTCTAAAGTGTATCAAATTTTCTCTCCTCTCTAGTTTTTATTTAATTAGCTGATTAAGAAAAAGTAATATATCAAAAAAAGCCATTTTACTAGGAAATGTTGGTAACTTATAGTTCCTATTTAGTTCCTTTATAGTTCCTCTTTGGATACTTTAAAGTTCCTTTATAGTTCCTTTATAGTTCCTTTATGGATTCTTTAAAGTTCCTTTATAGTTCCTTTATGGATTCTTTATAGTTCCTCTTTGGTTCCTTTAAAGTTCCTTTATAGTTCCTATAGGTTTTGACTCGAGAAATAGCCTATCTGATGCAGTTTTTCACGCTGATTCCGAATCTGCAATCAGTTTTTGCCAAAAGCTTCTCTATCGCGAGTTATTTGGCATACAAGTTTGTTGGGGTCTCTTGGGACGGAAAAACAGGGGCGAGTTTAGGAAACAATAAAACTTTAAACAACAAAAAATTTTCATTGAAAGGACTTGAACCCTCAAGGTCCAAAAGGTTATGGGCCCATCAGACGCGTACACTAACCACTACACCACCTAGGCCATTGGCTGAAGACAGTGCGTCGCCCTTATAAAGGGACCCCAACAAACTTGTATGCCAAATAACTCGCGATAGAGAAGCGTTTGGCAAAAACTGATTGCAGATTCGGAATCAGCGTGAAAAACTGCATGAGATAGGCTATTTTGTGAGTCAAAAGCCAACAACATTCCCTAGTTAAATCACCGTAATCTTTGCTCTCCAGTTTACATGAAATCGATCCAATTTTTGTCACAAAAAATCACTCAAATGATACAAAAATTGAGCTGATCGAATGTAAACTGACCGATTACGGTAGTTTTATTTTAAATCGATGCTTTTTAAGAAATCACCTAGCCGAGAGGAGGCATTCTTTTAAAAACTCTGAAAAAACTGAAAACATTTACAAAACCTAGCTCTTCCCCGGATCTAGAATTCTTAAAAACCCTATGTCTCACCAAAATACTCTTCACCAATTTCCATTGTGACTTTTCCCCCTTTTCTTCTTTTCTTTCTTCTTTCCAATACTTGTTCTCATTCTTTTCCCCTCTTCTTTCCCCCGCAGACACTAAAATATTAATGGAGACCAAGCATGACCCTTATGGACCTCAAAATTTCTGCTTTTCCCCAATCTTTCTCTTTTTTATCAATAAAGGACATTTTTCGAACTCTCCGACAGAAGTTCGCCGATTCTTTTTTGTTTTTTTCGAGTTTCTCTTTCTCTAAAAGTTCCTTGATGAAGTTAAATCATGTAGGATTATTGGAAATGATTATTGGAAATCATTTGAAATCATTTGAAATCATTTGAAATCATTGGAAATCATTGGAAATCATTTGAAATCATTGGAAATCATTTGAAATCATTGGAAATCATTTGAAATCATTGGAAATCATTTGAAATCATTGGAAATCATTGGAAATCAATGGAAATCATTTGAAATCAATGGAAATCATTTGAATTCATTGGAAATCATTGGAATCGATTTTTTGGACAGAGAATTTCAGTATTGATTTCTTGTTTACCCATTTCTAGAATATAATATTTTTTGAGGGAAATTTTGGCCTTCTTTACTTGCAATAATATAGGAAATCATGGCCTTCTCTAGGCCTTCTTTACTTCCAATAATATAGATCTCTAGACTTTTTCAATGTCATTCTAACTTTGAATTTCTTTTCCTCAGTCTTTTTACATTCAAATCGATTGTTTTTCGATTTCGGTCAATAGTAAATGCATTTTTGAGCATAGAAAGTCCCATTTTTTTGCCAGCATTAGCAAAAGCTGAATCAGGGACCGAATCCTGATCTTGTCGGCGGTAGAACAATGCATTGCAATGCCTTATTCACTAGGCCAACTCACGATTTTATCAGCTAGGAAAGAACCTTTTAAAGCATCCGTTTTCACGCCAAATTTTCCATTGAAAGTCATTTGGTAGATTTTTTTTGATTTCAGTTTCAGATTCCTCATAATCGATTGAATAAAGTGCAGACAAAAGCCAAAAACAAAAGTTCATGCCTTTTCCTAGTGAGGGGAAACTTCAAAAATTGATTGTCATTAGCAAAAAAACAGATTGGATAGTGATCTATTGTCTCGAAATGAATCTCGAATGAATCTCGAAATTAAAGCCAACAACTCCTCAAATTCTTTCACAGAATGATTAAGTTAACTTTTGTTCTTTTACCAACTCTATCTAATTTCAATGCTCTGTGATTCTCAAGGAGGGAAACTTCAAAAATTGATTGTCATTAGCAAAAAAACGGATTGGACTCTACTCAAAGCTCTGAATCTTGTCTTTGTCTTTGTGAATGAAATCTTTTCATCTTTTTATCTTTTTATTGGTTTCTTTTATTTGTGATGTTTGTCACCGTCCATCAAGTCCAGAAAGGAGAAAGAAAAAAGTGAAAAAAAGAGTCGAATCGCGCAAAACGCTCACTGAAATTTGAGCCATTTCTCAAATTTCCATTTTCTTTTTTCTTCGGCCTTTATGTGAAACTACTATATTCTTTTTGAAGTCTGATACAGAAATTTTTTTTGAAACAATATTGATTTTTCTTTTCCATTTAAAAGCTCTTCTTCTTCGACTGCCAAAGATCTTCTTTGGCCTGCTAAAAAACTTGTAAACGCTTTCCTTCTAGCATAGTTAGTTTGAAGAATCATCTTATCTTCTTCATTCAGTTCTTCAGTCAGTTCTTCAGTCAATGCCTCAGTCATCTCCTTACCTTCTTCATTCAGTTCTTCAGTCAAATCTTCAGCCATGATCTTATCTTCTTCCTTCAGTTCTTCAGTCAATGCTTCAATCATCTCCTTATCTTCTTCCTTCAGTTCTTCAGTCAAATCTTCAGCCATGATCTTATCTTCTTCCTTCAGTTCTTCAGTCAATGCTTCAATCATCTCCTTATCTTCTTCCTTCAGTTCTTCAGTCAAATCTTCAATCATCTCCTTATCTTCTTCCTTCAGTTCTTCAGTCAATGCCTCAGTCATCTCCTCATCTTCTTCCTTCAGTTCTTCAGTCAATGCCTCAGTCATCTCCTCATCTTCTTCCTTCAGTTCTTCAGTCAATGCCTCAGTCATCTCCTCATCTTCTTCCTTCAGTTCTTCAGTCAATGCCTCAGTCATCTCCTCATCTTCTTCCTTCAGTTCTTCAGTCAATGCCTCAGTCATCTCCTCATCTTCTTCCTTCAGTTCTTCAGTCAATGCTTCAATCATCTCCTTATCTTCTTCCTTCAGTTCTTCAGTCAAATCTTCAATCATCTCCTTATCTTCTTCCTTCAGTTCTTCAGTCAATGCCTCAGTCATCTCCTCATCTTCTTCCTTCAGTTCTTCAGTCAATGCTTCAATCATCTCCTTATCTTCTTCCTTCAGTTCTTCAGTCAAATCTTCAATCATCTCCTTATCTTCTTCATTCAGTTCTTCAGTCAAATCTTCAATCATCTCCTTATCTTCTTCCTTCAGTTCTTCAGTCAATGCCTCAGTCATCTCCTCATCTTCTTCATTCAGTTCTTCAGTCAAATCAAGAATTAGATTCGTCTAGAAGAATCGCTAGAAGGGATTCGTTTTCAAATTAGATCTCTAGAATTAGCTCAAATTCGACTCAAAACCAAATAAAAGCTTCAAAAAGCTTCAAAAATCCTTTTCTTTTCATAAATTCTTCATTTCATTCTTTTCATAAACCTATTTACCCTCCAAAAAGCTCTAAATCTTTCAATTTTTTAGCTTTTTTTAGGCAGAAAAGCAATTAGTAAAAACACCTGGCATAAGAATTTATTCTCAAAAAAAAAAACAAAACTTTTTTCAATAACATCAAATTTTTGCTCAGTCAATCGCTCAAATCATACGATTTTAAATGAAAATTTTCTTTTTAAATTGAAACTTGAAACATTTGCAGATTGAAATTGAAAACAGTATTGAAAACAGAATTGAAAACATAAATCAAAGCATTTCTCTCGCGATAATTGCGTGAAATCTCATTTTTCCAACAAATTTCTTCGAGTTTCGGTTTTTTGATCATTTTGGAATCGAGTTTTTTAAGCTTTTTGGCTTTAAATATCCGCAAACGCATCTCTTCTAGTGCACTCGTTTCTAGTGCACTTTTTGCTCTTGTTTTTCTTGAAAGGATTCAACCAGAAATCGCAGTTTAAGAAACCAGTTTAAGTTTTGATCATTTTGAGTAAAATCCTTTTAACACGTTGATGACATTGTCACCTGATGCTGTCTGAAACATATTCGCCTGGGACATTGTCACCTGATGCTGTCTGACACATTCGTTCGCCCGGGACATTGTCACCTGATGCTGTCTGACACATATTCGTTCGCCCGGGACATTGTCACCTGATGCTGTCTGACACATTCGTTCGCCTGGGACATTGTCACCTGATGTCAGGTGACATTTTTTGTCGACGTTGTCAACGTTGAAAAAAACAACGTTGTCCCATGCGATTGTTTGTGCAAAAATCGCCATTGTCGTCAACGTGTTAACAAAAACTTCTCAAATCCGATTCTCTTTGATTTGATTCGATTTTTGATTGGTTTTTTGGATTTGATTGGATTCTTGATTGATTTTTCGATTGGATTTTTTTTCTAATTGCTTACCTGGACTCAGAACTCCCGAAGAAAACGATTACCTTAACGATTGACACATTTCTTTTGTGTTTTTTTCTGAATGGCACGTAATCGGGCGGGCCCGTCATCGACTGGGGGATCACCATCACCCGGTGCAAGGGGAAATCCAACGAAAGGGGATTCACCGGAAGGAACGGTTAGACTCAATGGACTCATTTTCCCAGCTGATATGAGTGATGAGTTACAAGGATTGAATGTCGATATTGAGGAACGATGTGTTGAGGTGATGGCTGAGAAGGGGATCTCTCGATTCACGTTCAACGTTTTTCGAACGTGTTCACCCAAATAGCTTTTTTTTGAGTAGACAGATTTGAATGAAACTTTGGCTTTTTCTTAGTTGGATAGCACATAAAAATTGGTATTGATCAGATGTTTTAGAAAATTGATTTTAACGTTAAGTGGGTCGTTGTCCCTGTAAGCTATTGTTATTATAGAAAGCAGGATAAGGAATTTTGTCTGTCTGTCTGTCTGTCAGTCTGTCAGTCTGTCTGTCTGTTTGTCTGTCTGTCTGTCTATCTACCTATCTGTCTGTCTGTCAGTCAGTCAGTCAGTCAGTCTGTCAGCCTGTCTGTGGTCTATCTATCTGTCTGCCTGTCTGTCTGTCTGTCTGTCTGTCCAGGCAAGGCCAGGCTTCAGAATAAAGGTAAAACTGGAATTGGCATTGCAGAATGAAGGTGAAACTAGAATTGTTGAAGCTCCAGCTTGTAGAATATTGAAAAGAAGCTAAATCTTATAAAAAATAAATGTAAAGGAACACTTGAGACAATCAATAATTCGAAAAATGAGAAATTGAATTAGGAGAGTTTTTCAAGAGCTATTAATAAACCAAAATCTAATTTTTAGTCGCTCGAGTCCACCCGACGAATGATGGCGCTTTGCGAGGAAAGTAAAGAAGCCGGTATCAAAACGCTTGTCATGTTGGACGATCAAGGAGGTCAGGATAAGAGATTATATGTAGTCGAGTAGTCAGCCAGGTTCTAGAGCCAGGCTAGACTTGGTTAGGTTCAGCCAGGCTAGACTTGGTTAGGCATCGATCAGACTTAAGCATCGATCAAGTCTAGCCATCACCCTAAGCTCAGAGCCAATTCCACCAATTTTGGATTTGCCAAATTTCAAATTTGATCTCAAATTCGTGCCTCGCAATTTTCGCAATTCGTGCCTCGCTAAGTGCTTTGCTAAGTGCTATTTTTCCCCTATCTGATGCAGTTTTTCACGCTGATTCCGAATCTGCAATCAGTTTTTGCCAAACGCTTCTCTATCGCGAGATATTCGGCATACAAGTTTGTTGGGGTCCCTTTATAAGGGCTTTTGCTAGTTGCTTTTGCTACGATTTCTTTCTAGTTTTGCTAAGTGTACAATTTTAAATCTTTTAAACCCAAATAAGCCAAGATTTCTAAAATAGAAGAAGTAAATTAGCATAAAATAATCGCAGAACAGCAGAAAGTTTTAGCTTTTTTGTGAAAAATTCGATAAAATTTTGCAGTTTGGTGGAACAAGGCCTGCTATGAATCCAGCAAAGTCAAGGTCGGTCTTGACACGACCTAGTTCTGGCCTTGCTTTGCTTTAACTCATTCCCTTTGATTAGAAAAGTTCCCTTTTGAAACCAGCACTCTTGAATTACTTAAAGAAAACACATAAAGAAGGCAAATCTAAATCTGATTCATTTCAGAACAACTTGAACGAGTCGAGGTCGGTCTTGACACGATCAATGCTGACATGAAAGAAGCTGAGGAGCATTTGAAAGGAATGGAGAAATGCTGTGGATTGTGTGTGTTACCGTGGAATAAGTGAGTTTTATCTGGAACTGTTTTATCCGGAATAGTTTTATCCAGAACAGTTTTATCTGGAACAGTTATCCAGAACAGCTTTATCCAGAACAGTTTTATCCGGAACTGTTTTATCCAGAACAATTTTATCTAGAACAATTTTATCTAAAGCACTTTATCTAAAAGCACAAATCTTAAACGATGTTAACAAATCCGGATGTTTTATCCGGAACAGTTTTACCCGGTACAGTTTTATCCAGAACAGTTTTATCCGGAACAGTTTTATCCGGAGCAGCAGCACTTTATCTAAAGCACTTTATCTAAAGCCCTTTATCTAAAGCACTTTATCTAAAAGCATTTTATCTAAAATCACAAATCTTTATCTAAAATCTAATTTATTATCTAATCAAATAATAGAATTAAAAAACGAAACTTTAGAGCCGACGATTTCGAGAAGAACTCCGAGTTCGCAAAAGCGTGGAAAAAGGACGATGATGGTGGAGTGATATCCGATCAGCCGAGAATTACAGTTGGAGATCCGACAATGGGTAAAGAATTGTCAAATTGTTCTGTGTTTGTGGAAAATTGTTTTAGAAAAAATAGTACTATATTATCTTTAGGACCACAAGGAGGATATATCACAAGGATAACGAATGATGCACGAGAAGATGAAATGGATGAGAATATTCAACAGGTTGAGTGCTTTGTGCTTAGTACTCTGTGCTTAGTACTCTGTGCTTTGTACTCTGTACTTTGTACTCTGTACGTTGTACTTTGTGCTTTGTTTTCACCTCTTGTAAACGCTCACTTTCTGGCGCATTTGGCAATAGATTTAGGCAATAGATTATCCAGAAAGATCTGTAGATCTAGATCTAGAAAGAGCTGCAGATCTAGATCTAGAAAGAGCTGTAGATCTAGATCTAGAAAGATCTGCAGATCTAGATCTAGAAAGAGCTGTAGATCTAGATCTGTAGAGATCTTTTCCCAATCTCCACTTTTCTAGGTGTCAACAATGGTCGGAAATCTGCGCAATATGGCTATTGATATGTCAACAGAAGTTTCGAATCAAAATCGACAACTCGACAGGATTCACGATAAGGTTTGTGAGAGTGAGATCAATGCGATCGTTTACGAAATTTGTAAACGCACTCCTTCTCGCGCACTCATTTCTTCAATCATTTGGTGCGATTTGTGTTTAAAAATGCGTAAACACAGCAATTCTCGTTTCTCGTTTTACAATTCCTGTTTTACAGGCTCAATCAAACGAAGTCCGTGTCGATTCAGCGAACAAACGCGCCAATAAACTACTCACGAAATAAAATCAAACAAATCCAATTGAATTTTACAGAGAAAATTGTCTATTTTGTGTGCTGTGTGATTTGAAAAACTGATGAAATTTTGTGTTTTCTTTTTTTTGAGCCAAGATTAGCCGTTTCCTCCCCAAAGCAATATAGGAATTGTGTTGCTGTGAATCAAAGGGAAAGTCGGGAAATTGAATTAAATGAATTAAATCAATTAAATCAATTCAATCAATTAATCAATTAATGAAAACCTTTTACAGTATTCGAAATCTTTTCGAATTATTTTCCGACTATCTCTTCCCAAAAACTTCTCTTCCACTGGTCTTGCCCAATGAATTAAGCTTTAAAAAAATCTTTAAATCGTCTTTAAACAATTGTCTTTAAACAATTCTCTTTAAAGAATTGTCCTTAAACAATTGTCTTTAAAGAATTGTCTTTAAAGAATTGTCTTTAAACAATTGTCTTTAAACAATTGTCTTTAAAGAATTGTCTTTAAAGAATTGTCTTTTTCACATTCTAACTGAAATTTGGATTCTCTTTTTTAAATTCGAGCTTGGACCAACGCTAGTTTGAGAAAATTTCTCTAGTTTTTCGATTTCTTTTTTTGTTTTTTTTCTAGTTTCCATTGCCATTTAGAAATTTATTTTTGGTAAAAAGAAAAATTTGCAAAAAAACAAACTGGGATCACTTTAGCGTTTTCTAAAACGTGTCAACTTCATTTTTAATCGATTTCTAACCTTTCAATTGATATGTTTCAATTTTCCAATCGATTGGAAAATTTTCAATTCAATTTTCCAATCAATTTCTAACTTTCCAATCGATCTAATGTTTTAATAATTCGCAAATTATATCAAAAGATACAAAAAGTGAATAGAATAGAAAAAGATACAAAAAGTGAATAGAAAACTAAGCAAAGATTACGGTAGTTAAGAAAATTGACACATTTTAGTATGTCAAATTGATCTCAAAAGTTTTCTATACTAAATTTTGACTGTTTAATGCGCGAATCCCAGCTACGCCTATCCCAAAAATTACGAGGAAATCGAAAATTTGAAATTATTTTCCAAATCCTTTAATAATTTATTTATTGCTTTAGAATCTAGTCTATTTATTGTTTTTTCGTTTTTTTTGTTTGAATTGTGCTTTATTTCAATTCTCCCTCAAATTTGTTCCTTTTTTTTAAAAATCAACGAGTCAAACGAATTTATTTTGTGAATGTGCGTGGAAAAATGAAATTTGGAGAATAAAAATGCTGCAAAGTGAGGTGAAAATGGAAGAAAACAACATAGAAAAATAAACAAAGAAAAAACGCTAAATTTATCTAAAAATAAAGTTTTGTAACGATCCACGAAAAAAAAATTAAAAATTAAATGAAAAAGAAGCAGCGACGCGACGCTCCCATCGACTACCTCCAAATGGCGGTTACGTCAATTGGAATGCGACGTCGCGCGAAAATTAACATTTAAAATCTGCGACGGAAATTCAAATTTAACATGAAAGCATCTCGAAATCATTCTCTATTATAATGTAAAGATGAACCTCTGTCTTATTACAGTATGCTAAACCTGCTTAGTGAATATCTGAATGAGTTTTAGCTATTAGAGATAGTTTTAACACTTAAAGCTTGCTAGCAAACTGTAATTAGACAAGAACTTACAGTTTTACAGTATCTCTCAGTTTTTGGACTTTGAGTTATCAAAAAAACTTTGCTAGAGAGCATAAACATTACCAAAATACATTTAAACAATCTGCAAAGTACCAAAAAAACTATTTTTGGATGAGATCACGGCAATAACTTTCGAAAACAGACGCTTTTTCTGGAAAAGATTATCTCTATTCTGTTGTGTTTTTGGAAAACAAACCGATGAACGATCATGTAGATCACTGGTTTCCCAAGGCCCCAAAGAATACTCCCTAGGTAACAAAGAGCGGCTCCATCCTGAATTAAAGCTTTGGTAAGCTTTGGCAAGCTTTGGTTTTGGTAAGCGTTGGCTTCGGTAAGCTTTAGCTTTGTAAGCTTTGGCTTTGGTAAGCTTTGGCTTTGGTAAGTTTTGGCTTTGGTAAAGCTTTGGCAACTTAGTTGTTTAGTAAAATAGTCTATTATCCACTCACCTTCGATTTCCCAGCATTTTGATCATTGATAACGAATCCACGAGAGATTGAGATCGCCGTTGTCACACAAAAATAAATTGCCGTCCAGAAAACCTAAGTCGAACTTCTTTGAAATACTTTTCCCTTAACAAACTTCTTTTCGAATATTATTCATTAGCTGAGTTTTTTCTCCAGTAAATGGACATGAAATGAGAAGAATGATGAGTGAAATGAGCATTACAAAAGCGACAAAAATGTCGAGAGCATGATTGAGTTGGAGAGAGATCCAAGTGAGGGGAAGCTGCTGGAAATGAGAAGTGAGTTATGCCAGATGTGCTGTGTCAGATGGCTAGCACAGCTGTCAGAGCTGTCAGATGGCTAGCACAGCTGTCAGATGGCTTTGGCTAGCACAAAGTGCACTTACTATGAACCCATTGATCATCCACATAGGAAAATCGAAGTAAAGGATCGATTGATGAAATGGTGGATAATTTGCAGCGAAGAAGAGAAGGGTTAGGGAGAGGCAGATTAAGAGATAAATCTCAAAGAATTAAGAAATATTCGGGAAATTCGTGAAACTTTACCAAGAACACCGTCCTCGCCTTGAGCTTTGTGGAGCCGATTGTTTGAACGATTGTTGCTGGAACAAGGGTTAGATAAAGAAGTGATTGACAGAGCCACGCTGCACAGAAAATCGCGCACGAGTACTGAAAAGATGATCTCAAAATCTCAAAATCACCAAGGAGGTCAATTATAGTAAAAAAGTGTTCAAAAATAGCTAAAATCTAAATCTAAATTTAAATCTAAATCTAAATCTCAAAATCCCACTTACCATTGTGATTAACGGGATCTTGGCAAAAGCTTGGACCATTAAATATCCATGATATAACTGACAAACATTTTGAATGAGTTGAGTGATCGAGATGAATAATAAAGAGAGACTCGTGAAACAGAAAGATTTGAGAGAATCGAAGACGAGATGCTGGAAAGAGTTGAGTGAAGAGAATGAAGAGTTTCTTGGCTACAGTAACCCGTAACCATTGCATCTACAGTAGTAGTGAGATTTCAGAATATCAAGCATGTTAATGATTTACAAGTCTGTCTATTTAAATCTAGACAGTAATCTAGACAGTAATCTAGGCAGCAATCTAGACAGTAATCTAGACAGTAATCTAGGCAGCAATCTAGACAGTAATCTAGACAGTAATCTAGACAGTAATCTAGACAGCAATCCAGACAGTAATCTAGACAGCAATCTAGACAGTAATCACAGTAATCAAGACAGTAATCTAGGCAGCAATCTAGACAGTAATCTAGACAGTAATCTAGACAGTAATCTAGACAGCAATCTAGACAGTAATCTAGACAGACAATAAACCGGGTCTCTACAATTCTTTCTACAGTATCTTTCAATAACTTATCGACTTACCGGAAAAATGAATAGCCTCAAGCCGAGGACGAGCCCAGTGAGGCCAAGAGAGATTGCTCCGTAGATTTGCGTGACTGGTCTGAAAGCTAAGAACAATATAATAAAATACAAAGATAAGAAAGAACAAAAAGCATTGGACATTAGATTTTAAACTTTCAAACTGTCTACGAGCTCACCTTGACAGATAAAGATGCTCATCGAATACAGCGGGACTATCAATGTAGTCTTCTGCCGTGTAGTTGCCCATCTAGAGTTGATCTGACAATACTCTGACAGAAAAATCGATGCTTTTTCTCATTAGCTTAAAATTCTATTCTTACAGTAATGAAAAAAGTTTCAGACGTTTCCTTGCAGGTGTTTTTGTGCTTTCTTCCGTCAAATTTCACCTGTTTTCTCATTATTTCTTGATTTAATTTCTTTTCTTCTCTTTAATTTCTGATTATTTCTTGAATCGTTCAAGATAAATGCAGGATTTGTTGTCTTATCACCAAGGCTTCAGTCTTTGATTTTTAGATCCAAGTTCGGAAAAAACCTGACAGTATCCTGACAGATCTGTAGTGAACAGGACTACAGTGCCATTCCAGGGTTTTACAGCTTGAGTTCTTGAGCTCTTTAGCTCTTGAGCTATCTAGCTCTTAGGCTCTTTAGCACTTGAGCTCTTGAGCTATCGGGCTCTCTAGCTCTTTAGCTCTTTAGCTCTTGAGCTCTCTAGCTCTTGAGCTATCTGGCTCTCTAGCTCTTGAGCTCTCTAGCTCTTGAGCTCTCTAGCTCCTTAGCTCTTGAGCTCTTTAGCTCTTGAACTCTCTTGGTTCTATTAGACCGATTCTCCGATTCAGTTTCGTGTGATTTCTTAGTCTTCGACCAATCCCTCTTAGTCAGAACAATTTCTCGCATTGCAAAGCTCATCAAGTATGCCAAGAATTTGAATGTTTCTTTTGGAAATCACTGAACGAAACTCGATAGACTGATTTCATGATATCAAGGGTTTAGAGGGAAAGTTTACAACAGGTCTACGGAAAAAAAGAATGCAAAAACGATACTGTTCAAAATGGGGTGATAAGTCGAAGAAAAAAGGAGTGAAATTTCATTTTCCCAGCTTTCACTTCCCCCATTTCGTGATTTTCGGTTAAAATGATCCCGAAAACGACCAATTCTCGACATGTTCTTTTTGGAAATGAAAAGGTGACGATAAGTTGTTAAATGAATAAATAATTCTTTTAAATAAATAAATATTTCTTTTAATTGCTTGCATTTTGAATGTTTAAATAGGAAGATTGAAATAAAAAGAAAACCATGAAGCATCAATGGTCAGCTTTAGCTTAAATGTAATAAGTACTAGTGTTGCATTGTGCACAAGTACATGTACAAGTCTTAATAAGTACTCTAAGTGTTGCATATTGCACTGTAATGAGGCAAGAAGTACAGTAACCAAGCATGAAACCATGAAGCTAACTAAATAAATATTTCAGGTGGAAGTCTTCGACCAATCCCTCACCGACGAGGAAATAGCTTTACTCATCGCTGAACGATATGATAAATTGGTTGGGAAAGAAAAAAGATTTCATTCGAAAAAAAACAAGGATTTCGATTCTAGGGTTTCGATGATCCATTTATGGTGATGAATTTGGATGAAGTGCTTGAGAAATTTCACCAATGGAAGAGGGAATTGCCGATGGTTGAGGTAGGGAATGGAAGGATTGAAAAGGAAAATATTATCGTACAAAAATAGGGCTGACAATGAGTCTTGATTGTTGTATATGAATGGGTTTTCTGGGTTTTCTTCATATTCTTCATATTTATGATAAAATTTGAGTAGTTGACGAAGTTGATTTAACAATTTATTGAAACAGACAAAATGTTCGGGCAATTCTTTTCAAAAAGAAAGGCTCGACAACGAATTTCGAGGTAGGCTAATTTCCGGAACTGAATCGTTTGCGCAACTCATCATAACTTTCTTCTAAGCCATCCAATCTTTATGATTTTTATTTCATTTTGTAGATCTCAATAAGTGCAACAAAATGACACCAAAATCATAAAGATTGGTCGATTTAGAAGAAAGTTATGGCGTCCTTTGCTGGGTCATGCTGGGTCACGGCGTCCTTCCTTTGCTGCCTTTGCGCTAACATAACTTTCTTCCAAGTCCGTCAATCTTTATGCTTTTGGTGTCATTTTGTTGCACTTATTGAGATCTACAAAATGACACCAAAATCATAAAGATTGGTCCACTTAGAAAAAAGTTATGGCGAGTTGCGCAAATGACCCAGTTGCGCAAAAGAAAATTGCGGAAGCCTATGCCAAATTTGACCAAAGAGAAACAATGCTGTGAAAAGGCGGAGAAATACGGCTATGGTAGAAGGTCCGCACTTTAGAAAACACTTGAATTAACAAATAAATAATCTGGACGCCGAGATCTGAGCGATTCTTTAAGTGAAGACTACGCGACACTTCTATCGGTGTTCTTCTATTAGAATATTTATGGTAATCCAAACTATTTCAACTTTCTTTGCTAGAGCAATGAACCAAAAACATTCCAAAGCAAGCTGTTGATTTGTTTCTAGATCACCTTCTAGATCTAGATCTAGAACACCAAATTATCAGGTCAAGGATAGAGTCCAAGCATTAATAGTTTCTTTGACCAGGATCTCAATTTGACCAATCAGGATCTACCCAGGCTAGGCTAGAAGCCAGTCTAGACCCAAAAAAATCGTTTTTGAATCATAATAGTTAAACTGTTGAGTTAAATCTTTCAAATTTCAGCCATTCTACGCGGTTAAATGTTTCCCGAATCGAGTTTTGACGAGATTTTTGGCAAAACTTGGCGTTGGTTATGATTGTGCCAGCAAGACGGAGATCAATGATGTAAGGGATTGGGGTTTTATGATAAAGATTTTATAGTAAAGATTTTATAATCAGGCTTTATAATAAAGATTTTATAATAAGAAGTTTCTAATAAGTAGTTTATAATAAGAAGTTTATAATAAGAAGTTTTATAATAAGAAGTTTATAATAAGAGGTTTATAATAAGAAGTTTATAATAAGAGGTTTATAATAAAGAGTTTATAATAAGAAGTTTATAATAAGAAGTTTTTTAATGAGAAGTTTATAATAAGAAGTTTATAATAAGAAGTCTATAATAAAGAGTTTATAATAAGAAGTTTATAATAAGAAGTCTATAATAAGAAGTCTATAATAAAGAGTTTATAATAAGAAGTTTATAATAAGAAGTTTTATAATAAAGATTTTATAATAAAAGTTTTACAATAAAGGTTTTATAATAAGAAGTTTCAATAAAAAGTTTATAATATAATAAAGTAAAAGAAAAGATATGGAAAGAATATGGAGAATGGAAAAACGGTAATTTCCAGATTCTTGACTTAGACGTTTCCGCGGAGAAGATCATTTATGCTCATCCATGTAAACCAATCAATCATATTAAGGTTTAAAGCAATTTTTCGATATTAAGCTTTGTTTTTAAAGGAATATCATCAAAAAAAAGTCTAGTTTGCATCCGAAAATGGCGTTCAAATGATGACTTTTGATACGGTGGAAGAGCTTGAGAAAGTCAAGAAATTTCACTCAAAACCACAGTGAGTTTTGGAAAGAAATACCTTTTTTGTGATCTTTAAATTGAATATTTAAAGAAGATTTTAAAACTTAAATCTTTAAATTTAAATAAAATTTACCGTAAATACTGTAATTGGACCCCACCCCCCTCGTACAGTCGCGTAGTCGCAAAAGTTTTTTAGTTTTTCATTTTTTTTCAAAGCACCCGTACTTTCAAAAAATGCGTCTTTGGCATCAAAAAATAGCCCTGAATTTCAGCTATTTTTTGATACCTAAACGCGCATTTTAGCATAAATCAGTGTCGAGAAAAACGCGTCCAAAGCTAGACTACGCAACACTTCGCACCGTCATTATGGGGGTGGGGTACTATTACAGTATTTACGGTAAATCTTAAATAAAATTTAAATCTTATCCACTTAAATCTTAATAATTCTTAAGAAAACTTCAAACTTTTAGATTAATCCTGAGAATCGCTGTGGCTGATCCGTCAGCTCTTTGTCAACTGAACACGAAATTCGGAGTGAATCCCGTTAAACAAGCGCCACAATTGATCAAAAAGGCCAAAGAGATTGGGTTGAATATTGATGGAATCAGGTAAAAGCACATTGTTATCTTTTTTGCTGAAAACCTTATGTAATTTGGTACATATTTAGTTTCCATATCGGATCCGGTGCAAACGATTTCACGACTCATGAGGTAATTGGGTAACATGCAGATGCAAATTAACTAAATAAAATTATCTTTTAAAATCGTTAATTATATACTCTTAACTATCAATAATGGTTTTATAACTATCTAAAATTTAAATCTTAAACTTAAATCTAAAAGTTTTTTGTCCTAAGCCGTTTCTGTAAGTTCGAAGAGTTGAAAGAAGCCGTTTGGTCATCAATTTAATCTTTGTAGATGAATAAATAGCTGATAAAAATGATTAGGCTTTAATAGTTTGAGTTTTTGTTACAGAGCTAGGTTTACAAGAGCTTTTGTACTGAAATCATTGTTAGAATTTTTATACTAGATCACTTTTAGAATCATTACTTCTAAAAGCTAGTACTGAGCTTAGGCTCAGGAGCCTGAGCCATTTGTATCAGATCCAAGTACCGAAGTCATTGCTTTTATATTAGGAAAAATGGTAGAGTAAATTGATTTGAATAGATCTATTGAATAATAGATCTATTGAATAATAAATCTATTGAATAATAGATCTATCAAATAATAGATCTATTGAATAATAGATCTATTGAATAATAGATCTATTGAATAATAAATCTACCAAATACAGAGTGACCAGAAATAACGTTGCGGCCTAATTTAGCCTATTTTTTTAAAAATCCAAAAAGATTTTGTAACAGAAACAATTTTTTATTAACAACATGATATAAAAAGAGCATAAAATCTACTTTTCTTCAAAGTGGCCACCTTTGGCTCCGATGCAGAGCCTCAAACGCTTGATGAAATTTTCGGCGATGGGCCGCAGCTCGGCCGGAGTGATTCGATCCCATTTCCTGGTCAACGTTCGCTTAAGAGCCTCCAAACTTTTGTGGGGTTTTGCACAAGCCCTTGCCTCCAAAATTGACCAAACACTGTAGTCCAGCGGATTGAGATCGCACGAATACGGAGGCCATTCCTGGGCCGAGATGAAATCCGGAAAGTTTGTCCTACACCAGTCCTGTGTGGATTTGGCTCGATGGAAGGAGCGGAGTCTTGTTGGAAGGTCCAAAATCCGTTACCAAAATGCTGTTGAGCCCATGGAAGCAAAACATCCTCAAGAATCTTTTTTTGGTACACATCCTTATTGATTTTTACCCCAGAGTCGATGAAAATGAGAGGAATTTTGCCGGTCGCGCAGATTCCGGCCCATACCATGACCGATTTGGGATTTTGTCGGTGCTGAACAATCGCAGAGCTGGCTAGAGAGGACGTTGACCAAATCCGATCGTTTTGATGGTTGTAGCTCCACCGAGAAGAGCTTTTCGTCAGAAAACAGGATTCGCTCCCAGTGTGGAGTTGCGGCCCGCTTGAGAAGCTCTCGACATCTTTCGAGTCGAACTCGTTTTTTATCGTCGTCGAGTTGTTGCCCTTGCTTGAGCTTGTAAGGGTGAAGATTGAGCTCATTTTTGGCCCCAGGTCGAACCGATTCGCGAGCGATCCCCATCTATCGAGGGATCTTTCTCATTGAGACCTGTGGATTCTGGGCCACGTGCTTCTAAATCATTTTGCGATTTCTGGAGGTGTTGACTGTTCTTTTTCTGCCTCTTCCTGGACGATCTCCAACGTTGCCAAGCTCCTTGTATCGCTTAATCGCTTTTGAGACGAGCTGATGAGAAACACGTAGCAATCGCACGATTGCACTCACGCGTTGACCTTGACGATGACGCTCTAGAATGGCATATCCCTTGTTTGTCATCCTATAAAAAAATGAATAAACTTGAAACAAAGTAAAACAACAAAGAACAAACTAATAAAAACAATCACAGAGAATAGGTTAAAAATAGATTCGATTAGATAAAAATAAAAATAGAAATTTTGAGGATTTTAGGCTGCCGAAAATCCCGCAACGTTATTTCTGGTCACCCTGTAATAAATCTATCAAATAAAAAAAACTATCAAATAACAAAAGCTATCAAATAAAAAAACTATCAAATAACAAAATCTATCAAATGACAAAATCTATCAAATAACAAAATCTATAATTTCCCATTCAGATCGCCATCGCTCACTCACGGAATCTTTTCGATTACGCCCGATCCCTCGGACATCATATGCATATTTTGGATATTGGTGGAGGATTCCCGGGTGGAGAGCACAAATTCAGCTTTGAACAGGTGAGTCATTCGATTTTAAAACCCTCTATCTAAATACAGTGGTCCACAAATGTATTGTCCCATTGCCATCCAAAAGTTTCTTTCGTACAAAAATCTTGCAAAATAACGATATTCCCAAAAAGTGTAGGGTGCTTACCCATAATACTCTACTTTTCAGGATTATAAGATTTATCCGTATACATTGCAGAAAAATTAAAGTATAAAACAAAAACAATAAGTTACTTAAGAAATAGCTCCACAAAAGTAATGTCCCATTGATGTTTTCCTTGATTATTCTTTTTATTTTCGCGTTCTATGAACATTAAATGTATTTTATTTTATTATTTAGAGGTCTGTGCAAAGTCAAGGCGCTGCTTCCGGTGCTTAGATTTTATCAGAGGTTTACGGGCAGCCCTTCTTGCATATCATCCAGCTTGATTTAATCATCATCTGATCGTTTCCGGCGATACAAGCCTGTTAAATTGATCCCTCATCATTTGGCTTCCATCGGTTGGTGTTTTGTTAGGATCGTTTTTCACCATTTGGATCACGGCTCGATCTTCTTTTGTGATTGTGATTGGTCGTCGGCCACTCTTGAGGCCTCGATGAAGGTTTCGGTCGACTTTTGACTGAGAAAGAATGCGGCGCACCGTCCTTCTCGAGCAATTGATGAGGTTGGCCACATCCCTTTCCCGCATCCCATTTTCCCGGGCCTTCGCGATTCGGAGCGTCAAGGTTTTTCTTGCCAGCCATCTAAATAATAAAATAAAATACATTTAATGTTCATAGAACGCGAAAATAAAAAGAATAATCAAGGGAAACATCAATGGGACATTACTTTTGTGGAGCTATTTGTTAAGTAACTTATTGTTTTTGTTTTATACTTTAATTTTTCTGCAATGTATACGGATAAATCTTATAATCCTGAAAAGTAGAGTATTATGGGTAAGCACCCTACACTTTTTGGGAATATCGTTATTTTGCAAGATTTTCGTACGAAAGAAACTTTTGGATGGCAATGGGACAATACATTTGTGGACCACTGTAGATTTCAAGAAATTCTATTCTTTTTTCATTCTCAAAGTCTTCAGATTGCTTCCATCATCCGCTCGAGCTTGGAGAAGTATTTCTATGATGATTCAGTGAGGATCATCGCCGAGCCGGGAAGGTTTGCATTGAGGATTTTGATTTGTAAGCTTTGTAGGCTACGGTATTGTCCAATTACAGTAATCAAGTGGAAATCTTAGTGTCTTCTAGTGGGTTTTTCAGATTTTTCTGTGCTCGTCCCTGTTTTGAGTGTGTAAACGTGATCCACGCTGCACAGGCTCCACGAGAAGGGGGTAAGCGTTGAAAATCTATCGTCCAAGTTATAAAGTCACGTTGAAAAAAGCTACAGCTATGGATACAGTAGCTCTAATGGCAAGTACAGTGTCCCTAATTCTAGCTACAGTATCTTTTAATCAATAAGCTCTCCAGATGATTCCAATCACATCGTTTACTACATAAATGATGGGATTTTTGGCTCTTTCAACTGCAAACTTTACGATTTTGTTCATCCAAAGGGGAAACCGCTGAAGGTTTGATTTAAATTTAAATTAAATACCATTAAATGCAAATTTCTAGATTTCCTATACCTTTAAATGCGAATTTTCAGCTCGATTCTCAGGCCCAATTGTTCCCGAGTACAATCTGGGGTCCAACCTGTGATGGTGGCGATAAAATTGAGGTTTGAGATTAAAAATGAATGAGACTTATCGACCTTTTAGGAAAATGTGTCTCTCCCAAAAATGTCTACCGGTGATTGGCTACTGTATCAAGAAATGGGCGCATACACTATTGCCGGTGGATCGACGTTTAATGGTTTCCCACGTCCGAAAATGCATTACACAATCAGCAATGAGAATTACGCAAAATATTTGGCTTGACAAGAGGGGATAAATGTTGATTATAAGTCTAATCATGATAAATGTCTAATCTACTGTCTAGTGTAGTTGTACACTTAAAAACAATTGTATTATGATTTGCTATGTTCTCATTTTGTTCAATTTATTTCAATCCAAATCACAATTCTGACAACAATTTGATGAGTATTCTGCACTGGAATGACGTTAAATTATACCGTAGAAGTCAAATCGTGTTAGCATTTTGGTATAGTATAGGTTAGCCCAAACCTCAACATATCCCAAGAGGCAAGATCTGCTGGGCAAATCTGTTCCCTCTGAATGTCAACGAATTGCATACACACCCATTGAGCCCCATCCAATCTGCATAATCTAAGGAAGATTCCTTCTTCTCAATCTCCAAGGAAAGATGCAACAAGAAGCAGTAGTGAGCTTTAGAAAGAAGGTAGTGTTCAAATATTCTACGAGCCTCAATTTGCTTGAATGACCTGCAGCCTCTGTCTATTGGTTTGGGGAGTATGAAATCGATTTTGAACTTTTGGACTTTTAAAAGGACGAACTTTTGAAAAAATTAAACCATCTAGCCCGTTAAACTTTGCAATAACTTGCTAGAATCAAAAACCGTTTAAGCCAATATGTTTGTACAAACTTGTTAACCAAAATAAACATAAAATGAAATAAAATGAGATAAAATGAAATTTTCGAATAAGAACATGCCACTTTTTTTGAGGATACGAGGTATTTTTTTGAGGGTATTATTCCCAGGACTTAGACACGTCTTTTTCAATCTTTCATTTTTATTATCTTATATAATAACTAGATGCTAGTCGAGTATTTTTGCTAAAAACATTGTCACGTTAAGTCATAGTCAAAGATCGGCCAAAGATTTGGATGGATCGACCGTGAAATCGATCGATCGATTTCATGTTCATTTCTCAAAAACTGTGCATCAAATCAGGATCAAATTTTATTAGCATATAATTAACAAAACTTCAATTGTTATTAGAAAAAAAATTGAAATAAGGTTATGGTTTGATTTTTTTCAAAACTTTGTCCGAGGACGCCGCCATTTTCGCCATTTTCCACCATTTGAACGCCATTTTCGGATGCAAACTAGACTTTTTTATACTCTCCAATCCAATACAATTGGATCTAAACTTTGTCCTACACAACATAAACTTTTGTCTACAGTTAGTCCGTAGCACTTTCCTCATTCTCTACAGCTCTTTAATATTTGATGGGGTTCCCATTCTCCATTCCATTCTACCCATTCTCATCTCATCTCTATTCAATCTTTTCTTCCATTCGAATCCCATTTTGTGGTCGATTCCTTTCCTTTTTTTTTTCTTCAGTTGTCCATCGGGATGAGTAATCCTTTTCCCCGACAGAAGTCCCTAAAAGGAAAGTAAAAAAGATTAGGAGAAAGAGCTAAACGATGGGGAAAAGGGTGGAAGAATCGAAAATCTTCAGGAAAAACTATACAACGAAGAGCATTGGACAATCTGATACTTGATTTATTGTATCGTACTAGTATTAGACAAATTTACATTGTACTACATACATAGTTTCTGCTATTCTTGATGGATCCAAAGTCTACAGAATCATAAGTGCATTACCTACTACAGAATCATAAGTTCGAGCTTTACTTCTTGATCACTCTTCTCAAAATTTCTCCACTTTTTTCCTTTTTCTACCCTTTTTCTCCTCAAAATTAGCATAAATCAATGTTTTTTTTCGATCAGAGAATGATTTACGTTTTCCCTTTTCATTCTTTCATTCATTTCATTCAGTTCATTCAGTTCATTCAGTTCATTCAGTTCATTCGGCTTAACTCTTGAATTGGGTGAACAAAGTTGAACAAAGCTTTCCATAGCAGGTAATAAATCAGAAATATAATCAGTTTAAAAGAAGCTTGATTTAAAAAAAGTCTATTTTTAATCATGTCTCTCAAAAGTTTCAGCTCAAACTTTGAGCTTCGTCCGTTAAACTCTTTTTCCAATAACCTCTTCCCCAACAAAAATCCCCGCATTTTTCTCCTCTTTATTCCAGTTCATAGACTTTTTTCCCTTGTTTTTTCTTTTATTCTTTTCCTCTCCAAAAATCCCTTAATATCTCTTAGTCGATTCCCGCACTCAGCCTCAATAGATGCAAGAGAGGGGCCACTCCTCCCCTCCCCTCCCCTCTCCTCCCCTCTCACTAGACCCTTCTCCTTGTCCTCCACTCTTCACATAATATTTCTAACATTTATCCATTTCTCTACCCCTTTCTCTATACTATTCGACAAGTTCTTTCCCATTGGCCTCGAGCAATCTTTCTCCGTGCATGAGAGCTCTTTCTCTCATCGACTTTTTCTTCAGGATCTATCCTTAACCCTTTTCTTCACTTCTGCTACTCTCATCTTCTCATCTTCTATCTTGTTCTCTTTCCATCCACTCCACAATCCTTTTCTGGGCCTCAGCCTTCTCTTTGCATCCCCCTCTTCTCCACACTTTCTATTCTAAGCTTTTTCTTGTCCCAATCTCTTCTCCCATCCTTGCTTGCCTATATTGCCTCATCTCTACCCTTGTCTTGCAATCCTTGTCAACTCTTAACTCTCCTACAACTGTCTTCTCTTCTATCTCTTCCCCATCTTTTCAGCCTTGAATCTCTTACAGCTTTCTCAGCTCAACCATTCCATCTCTTCCCGAAATCTTTCTGACACTCTTGCCTCTCGCCTGTCTTCTCATTCCACTGATCTTTTCCATTTCCATCTCTTCCTCACTTCAATCTCTCGTCCCTTTCTATCCCCCAGGGCCTTTCCCCGCATATCGAGAGACGGAGACGTCCCAGCACAGCCCAGCAGGCCCTTTCCTACCACATCAGAGAGATGGGGTCCGATTGTTTCGGAATGTCCTCCCCAACCAGTCCCCATTCCCTAGAGGTCCTCCTTGTCTTTCCTTGCCACTCTTCTGAATATTGACTTTTCCGCTTACCACACGCTTTGTGCGATCCTCCGCCTTCTTCCCCCTTTTCTGCTTCTAGCTCCAGGCCTTTTCTCTTCCCCAACGTTTTCCTTTGTGAAGCCCAATTACCGAATTTGGGCTCTCTCTCTTTCTCTCTTTCTTGCAACTGGTTTCGAGCATTTTTTTTCCGATAGTACTAGTTTGTGGTCAAAGTTTCAAAAATCTACTAGAAGAGGCTGATACTCAATACTTTTTTGTGTGAGGTTTTGTTCGGAATTGATTATAAATTTTCTTAAAGTTTGTTAATTGTTGCTGTTCCTGCAAGAGTACTTTTCCTTTTGTTTCCCCGCCGATCAAAGCAGATTAAATGTAAATTTCCCCAGCTTACCTCTAGATAAAGATATGGGGGAAATCGTATAAATTGCTTTATTGGGTTTATCTTCATTCATTTTAGCTCAAATCTATTCAAAACCATATCAAACCTTGGATAAAAGATGCTAAAATCCAATGAAGTAAGATGTCAAAGATTAATTTGCATAGGAGATTGTTGGCGAGGCAAAAATGCACAAGTACCTCTGGAAGACTTCAAAAAAGTAGTCAAGCCAAGCTGAAACTGATTATTTTTGATGCTAAAATCAAAACGGATACCTTTTCTTCTCATATAAAGTTAGATTTCTATTGATATGTGGGACTGGCGCGAAAGCGGCGCGGCCTGCTTTCTAAAGGGTGGATGCCCTACTGTACCCCTGCACAAAAATTCCCTTTTGCCATTCTTTTCATTTTTATTCGTTCCATTCCTTTCATTCATTTTCTTCATTCCTTCATTCCTTCATTCCTTCATTCCTTCATTCCTTCATTCCTTCATTCCTTCATTTCATTCCATTCCATTCATGGAATCAGAAACTTTGTCCAGCTTTTATGCCGAGTCCCGCGAAGTTTTTCCCCCTTCGTTATTATGTTTTGTAGCACGTTGTTTATAAAGTACTCTCTCACCTCGTTCGTTCCCTCTTTTTTATATTCTTTCCGCCTAGTTTGTTGTTTAAAATTCTAATATGGTTTTATTTCGTTTTCTTTTCGGCTCCTTGTTTTCTCCATTGTTTTCAATCCGCTCACAAATGTCGTATAAACTCAGTTTAACCAATTCCTTTTAACTAAAACGCAAATCTAAATAATCTGCCACTGCGCGATCTTCTTGTTACTTCGTTTTGAGTTTCGTATCAAATCATTTAGAAAAATGTTAGATAAGGGGATTACTAACCATAAAAAGCTTTGCTTCACACGTTTCCATTTTTCAAGGGTTGGCGTAAAATCACCTATTTTTGTTCAGATGAGTGCCCTCCTCTTTTGATTTCTCTCGAAAATGACGAAAAAAAAGCGAAAGGTGAACAAAAGTTTTCACCTTTTCCCTCATTGTCACTTTTTTTTGCTCTTTTTTGGTTTCCATTTTTTTCCTATCAATTACAATCAATCAAATATTGATTGAAGTTGGGAAATTTAAAGTTGAAAAAACTTTAAATCTTAAATTTCTGATTCAAATGTCTTTCATTGTGTAATTTGTATCATTACAGGCAAGAAATGAACGACGACGGCATTCGTGTTCCAGATGTGCCGCTGGCTCGTTGTGAAGACGATATTGACAGCAATCGGAACAGTCAACCGTGAGATTATTTATTTATTTCATTAAAGAAATAAAAAGATATTCATTGAGAAATCTGTACTTTTTCGTTTTACTACACTTTTTCTCGAAAACTCTCCTTTCCCTAGAAATTTGACCTTGACAATCCAGAAAAATGACTCATTTCACACCTACGAAAATCCATTTTGGGTTAGTTGTGGTGATTTCGAAACTCACCTGAATTGCTTGGGAATAGTTTGGCAAAAACTAAATACCCAATAAAAAACCGATAGCGATTGGTGTAGTAGCTTTAGCTTAAGATAATGATTATCCAATTCATCACTATTAAAAAGTTTAAAACAACACATTTTAGCTTTTTATAGTATCGACTGTATGCTGATTATCTAAACTAGTACCCAACTTGTTGTCGTTGTCGTCGCCTAGATATCCTAAGCTCCTCTTGATCTTTTCCTATTCAAACTCATTTTTTTAGTTTGTGCTAGACTAGTCGCACAACTGTGATTCGCTTTTTCTGCTTTGAGAGAAGAGTGTGCGAAATTGGACCCCTTTCCCCTGCACCTTTGAAACTTTTCCCGTGAAATCCCCCACCAAATATCCAAAAACATTACCCACCCTCATCTTTGGGTGATTGTTGCCATTAGCACGTTAAGAAGAGCAAAAAAGGAGGTTAATAAAATTTAGCATTTCCTGTTTCTATTTTCTCAGATTATTCCTATTTCTAGTAGGATTATCTATCTATATTCTGAGATATTCAAGGATGAATCGATGTTGAAAAAAAGAAAGAGTGAAGGGAAACGTTTGGACTAATTGAATCGTGACACGCAGCTGGGGCTCTTTTCTTTCTTTTTTCAATCTCCCTGTGTAGAGAATAAAGGACAGATATATTGCTTTCAAGATCAAAAAAAAACTTGAAAATATTAGTTGGACAATGCATTTTGCCACTGATACTTTGAAAAAGCTGTTTGCATTTAAGTCTGAGTGCTTAACCTTATCAATACAAGTTTCTTCTTTTCATGAGTATCATCAATAGGGAGAAGCTGTGGCTCCGATATAAATCTCCGGCAACTTATCTTGTTTTTAATAATCAATCACCCTTCTAAATTCTTTGCTTTATGCATTTACGAGTTCACCAATCAATCCACCCAAACAATTTCCCCCATATTCTCTTTTCCCCTTTTCCAAAGGGGTGTCATCAATAGGGAGAAGCCGTGCCCATTACTCATCAACGGCTTTTGAGCAAAAGAAAAGGAGAAAGCACCCCATGGGACGGGGTAATAGGTTTCCCTTCAAGAGGGGAATGCCCGGAGCACAATGAGGTCCCTCAATGAACCACTTGCAGCGGTGGGAATAACTGAACGGAGTGCGTAAATGAACCAAAGGAAGAATGCAGATGTCAAAAATAAATTTTAAATTTGCTTATTGTTGAAAGGACAAAGATGCACAGTACTGTATAATGGAATTAATGGAGGTCCAAATTAGGGTCCTCCTAAGGATCTCAGCTTAGTATCTAGTATAACAACAATGAAATCCGGTTCTAATTGTTAGACTCAATAAAGTGAATAGCTCGAACCGATTTGCCGACCCCAAAAACCCCCCGGGTACAAGTTTACAGCTCAATATTTTCTTTTTGTACCGTCTACAATGCAAAAGAAAAATTCCTGTGTAAATGAGTGGCGTGGTGTTCTTTGTGTGGCTGCAAAATCGTTCTCCATCTGGCATACTAACTTCAGTGTGAATATGCTTTAATTCCCCACAAATTCAGCCCATATTGATCCTCATTTCTCAAGAGCTGAACTAGGAAATGGGGTCCTTCTGGCGCGCGATCGGATTAGAGTTGATTGAAATTTAGGAAAAGCTTAATTCTTGATCAAATGCTAGATCAAATTCTAATTAAAATCGCTAAAAACTCCTCTAGAGATGTGTTGAGCAACAACAACTTTCAAAATCTTTAAGAAATTCAATAGTAAAAATCCAAACTTTTCCCTTAAATGTATCTTTATCCCAAGCAAAACCTCATAAATTTTCCAGAAAAATCACCTCAGGGAATTCTGCCGATGAGTAATGTTCTTTGCTTTTCGTCTTTTTCCCTCCATTTTTTGCCTTTTCCCAAATATGGACAAAACTATCGAGCTGTTCTGCCCTGATAACACCTCATTCATAAGAAAAAAGTGGGTCAGCTGTAACTGAATATTGATTCTAAGCTATTTCTTATTCTAAATGTTCCGCTCTTTACAATCCTATCTGAGCAAATCGGCGACGATTTTCGAGAGCAAGGAAAGGTTAGGTTTTCGAGAAAATAAAGGATATTTTGATCAGATTTTTCTCATTTTTTTGTCAATAGAATGAATAGAGACATTAATTTTATCAAATCTCGATCTCTTCTTGGAAAAATCAATAATTCACGATCAGTTTTGGAGATTTGAGGTAGTCGGCGGGGAATTCTTGCGTTTTTTTATCATCGCCAGTTTACACTCAACAACAAAAAACATTGACCGATCAATTGAGCCCATAGAAACGCACGCTTTCTGGTGCACTGAATCCTATATTTCCACGGATAAACGAGTTGTTACCTGAAGGAATAAGTGCACCAGAAGGGATGTGTGTTCGTGAGCACAAAGGACGTCAAGAATGAACTAAGAATCAATTAGTCGTTGATTGATTCGAGCTTTCTTTTCATCATCACCACTTTACACAAAAGAGATACACGAGCAAGAGTGATCATCTCGGAATAAATCGAGGCCAGATTTCCCCATTCCATTCCATTTTCCTTTCCTTTCTCTCTTCATAAAGGATTACATTTGCTCATTTGTCCTTTTGGACAAAGCGGGAACAATTCGGGGATTGTAAACATAGTGAATGAAAAGACATATGCTGGGGGTAATGGGGGTTGGATTTTTCGAAAGAAAATACATCCATTATCTTCAGGATTCACAAATACATCCATTATCACGAATAATGTGGTGAAAACAATACACAAGCACAATCCCAGATAGTACTATACTTGTAAGTAGAGCCCCTTCCAGCTATCTTCCGGCTCTTAGCGCTATTGTTTTTATTTTAAATGACTTTAAAACACAGACTGTTGTCGGGTCTTTATGTGTTTCCTGTTCACTCTAGCCTAGTCAACATTGGAAAAGTTGAATACTTTTGTTTTGGGAAAACTTTTCATAGTTCCTAGTTCCCAAAAAAAATTTATAACTGTAAAATTAGCAAGTACAGATCTATTTCCAGTGACGAATCGAGTGCAGCGTGCAGTGTGAGTGACGAGTCGGCTCTGGATGGAGATCTCTCTGGCTCACTCGAGGATCTTGTCGGGAATCTCGATCAGAAAATCGTCAGATGTCTCAAAGTGGGTTCTTGTTAAAGAAAAGCTGTTAAAGATATGTAAAGTGTACTCATATATTGTAAAATACTAATATATTGTAAAATGCGCAACATCATTCCATTATCTTCAGGATTTGGGTGAGAAAACCGAGGATATCGCGCCGGTGCAGGTCCGCTCACAGGATGAAGTGATGGCCGAAAGCCAGTGGGTTTTCATTTATTCTGGATTGATAAAGATATTGAAAAATAATAATAGATTATATTTTAAATAGTATAGTACAAAATAAACCAGATCTGTCAGTTTTTCGGCACAATTCAATCTTTTCTTTCCTTTCAATCGCCATGACTTTACTCGAACTAGCAATTAGCCACTCCATTTGCTTTCAAAGTAAAGTTTTTTTTAATTTTAACACTAGTACTGTGTAACTAATCCTTTATAAACTTAAAGCTCTATGTAAAATGAGTGTAAAATGATTTTTTTGAAGCAACCGTACAAATGAAATCTATATCCACCGAAAAAAAAGGCTTGGCTTGGTTTTTTTCGTAGAATTTCCGAGCTACTTTTTTCAGGACCAAGATTTTTTTTTTAAATTCCTTTCTATTTTCCTTTCTTTTTCCCGTTCTCCCATTGATTTGGGTGACTTCCGGTGAGAGAAATTGCCTCTAGGCGACAAGGAAAGAAAAGAAGAAGTGAAGCTAAAGAAGACTCAGAAAATCTGAACAGACCACACAAAAAATTTGTTTGAAGGGGAAAGCTTTCTCTAGAAAGAATGGGGAAAAGTGAATAAAGGGGTTTGGGAAATTTGGGAATCAAGGGATTTTGGTAATTCTCAATTTCAACAATGCCTGCTTCAACTTGAAGTGTACTTTGTGCTCTGAAAACGGAAACACACCATTTCTGGCGCACTTTGACTCGTCAATTTTCATCCAAAGGAGATCCTATCTGCAAGAAGATTGAAGAATTCAGTGCACCAGATGGAATGTGTTTTCGTTTTCGGGCACAAAATACACCTGAACCGGATAGTCAAATCCAGGATATCAAATCCGGACAGTCAAATCCAGGATTTTACTTTTACTTTTACTAAAAGAATACTTATTTTATCAACTATTTTAAAGATTTTTAAACCTTTAAACTTGTTTTCCAAAAACTTTTCCCAAATTTCATTCCCTTTAAACCCTTGATCCTTTCAGTTGTGTATGATGGTGCTAATTTTCTTCTTCTTCTTCTTCTTCTATTTCCATTCTCGACAAATTCCCCCTACTTGTGTTCATTCTAGCGTGTCGTGCAAAAATAATGTAACCAAGTAACCCATCTAGTTTTTCAGAAACTGAACAAAAAGTCTCAAAACAAAAGGATTTTGTTCTGAATCTAGGATTCTTTTCTAATTTTAAGCTCTGTAGTTAGAAACGAGTCATAGAATCACCCGAATACTAGAGTTGTTGCAAAGACAATTTTTCTTGATCAGACCGTGAGCAAACTCTGTCAGTTAGCCTTGGCTGACCTATTCATTTTTTGAAACGAGTCACCTAATCAGTAAGTATGGGAGAATTGCACCTAACTGACATCAGAACCTAGATGTCTTTTTGCCTTTCGTTCAACAATCCTCTCCTTATCCATTTCCCAGAATCCCATAAATTCTTCAACAACAACATCCCCACCAATTAAATGTGTTTGTGCTCCATCCAGTCATCTCATTTGGTGTTTCTTTATCTCTTCAAAGTATCCCATTCCCATCAAAAACCATGTGGCCAAGGGAAAGAGGGGGAAAGAGAGTGTGTGGAAGAGAAAGGAGATTCTATCGATTCGCGTCTTTTCTCTCACTCACCTCTTTCCCATAGATGGCCCTCAGGAGTAAAGCCCCCTCTCTCTCTCTCTTTTTGCCAAACCCTCACTTCAAAGAGTCACCTCGTCAACTTGAAACTTGAAAGTTCATTTTTTTAGCAATCTAGAAAGCATTTGTATAATTGTATAAAACTGACTTCAGATTGCTCAGTCTGCCTAGTCAGCTCATTCGATTTCAAGGGTATCTAATCTTTGTGTAACCAAGAAGGTAACAAGATTTTAGAATTTACTTTTTTCAGGACAAAATTCATGACAAATTTCATGAAAAATTTGATATTAAAAGAATGAAAAATGAAAAAAATAGATACATTTCAAAATAAACTCCTTGAATTCTTGAATTACTCCTTAACTCCTTAACTCCATACTCCTTAAATCCCAAATTTCGCAAGTTGTCTTTCAACTCAATCTATAAATGGAGTTAAGCCTTTTCCAAACCTTACTTCAAGCCAAACATCTGTGTGAGTGATGGATTCTCTTCTTCTTTTCTTTCTTTTCTTTCTTTTCTTTTCTTTAACTCCCGATAACTCATTTCTTGGGAGTTGTGCCTTCACTTCCCTTTCTTGTGCTTGTCTTGTCAAAATCCGAAAATCACTTTCTAACCGATGCACTTTATGGTTTCGAAATGACTTTGCTTTACTCTAGATTTCAAAACAAACAAAATCATGAACTTTTCTTGAAGTGATTTTTTGGAGAGATTCATTTACCGTAAGCTTTTCAGTGGATAATCGAACCTGGCTAAATCTGACTTCACTTAGCTTAGAAATTTCAAATTTCAATCTTATCACTTGTAAATTAACCAATTACCAAATTAAGCACTCAAATTTCAGAATCTGGTGGACGCTGACCGGCAACTTTGGCACGATGATGCCGCTCGACTTTCAGAATTCGCAGATTCGGCGAAATATGGTCTCCGGGTTGGGATTGAGGGGAAAAGTGAGGAAATTTGATATCAAAAGAATGAAGAAATGAAAAAATAGATAGATTTCAAAAGAAAATTTTATGCTATAAAAGAAATTTCAGAGTGGATCGCCGGGCGAAGACAATGGAGTTGATCTCTCTGACGAGGATGAGTTGAGACATCAAATGGACATGCACACATTGGCTGCACATGGTCAGTTTGATTGGAATACGAAATGTGAAATGAAAAACCTAACTAGAAGTTCATTCCTTAAATTTCGGTTTAATTAAGCATGCTAATATTTTGATGGAGAGACAGTTTACTGAGAGCTTTTTTTAGGACTCCCCTTTGCCGGTGACTCTCCTCCGCAAACAGCCGATCAAGTGATTGAGGAGATCGATGAAATGCTGCAGGTGAGAAAGACGATAGTCTTTCTTTATGAGACTTTAGAATAGATTTATCAGAGCTTTTCAGTCCTGTGACCTATCCGGTTCGATGATGACGGATCGGACGATGGAGAGCGTCGACTCAATGTACTCCTCATTGCGAAGTCCTTTCCCGTCAGCGCTCACACAGAATGAACTCGAGATTCGACAACGACATGCACAACTCGCAAATCCTGATGGTTGGTTGGATGTTTTGGGAAATGAGTTGAGAGGGGGATGAACTAGACATGGGGAAAATTCAAACCCGCACCTAACTCCACCTTCGTTTTCTTGACCTATTCTTGGCCCATTTTCTCAGCCGTCTCTTGGCCAATTGCTTTGAAATTTTGTCTACAGAAAGAAATCGACATTTTCAGCTTGTAGACAAAATTTCAGAGAAATCGTTCAAGAAACGGCCGAGAAAACGAAGGTGAAAGGTTCGCGCTGGAATTTTCCCATATCTAGGATGAACGTAAAACACTGATCAATAGAAAATAAAAGCAAAACAAGATAACAAACAAGGCTGAATAGCTTCAAATCTAGAAGTCCTTTGAATCCAACTATTTGACACTAGCTTTTGCTATGTACCGTACCCTGACAGTGAGATATAGTCTCATAGTGATCATTTACCGTACATCAACTGGGGTTTACCTAAATCGAGACTTGTAAAGTTGATACTGTATCTAAATCTCCTCCTTGATCTTTATCAAAGTGTTCTGCGTTCATAAATCTCTTCAAATCTCCCCTGATCCCTTCACTCTTTCTCCCGTTTTCTCCAGACTTTCTCTATTCCGAATTTTTACGTTTTTTTTTTCAATTTCACAGGTCACGCACGAGACACTCCATCGGGTAAAGTTGTGTCGTCTCTTTCTTCACAGAAATTAGCAAATATTTTCTTTTGTTTACTTCACAGTAGAGTTTCTGAGTGCACTTTTTTCCTTGCACATGTAAACACATGCTTTCTAGGGCACTGGCACCAACTCTTCGCCTTGAGTGCTAGAGAGGCTGTGCTAGAAAGGCTATGTGTTTACATATCGAAGCTTAAAGTACATAAATCTCAGAAGATCTTCACAGCACAAAGCATTTGCTTTAAGATTTAAGCACTTTTTTTCATTTACTCTTTCATTTTTCATTGTTGTCAATGATTGGGAGGCATGTGGAGCTTATTTATTTATTATTTATAATGGAAATTTTCAGACCTCGAGGCGCTGAGCTATTCGAAATTGATCACTCTGCACGCCGAAATGGAACAATTGATACAGGTAAGGGCTAGAGATTCAACTAGAATCTCTTAGTATATCAAAAGATATTCAGAATATTCAAAATTCATCTTCAAAATATATTCAATGCGCAAATTTCAGCTCTACAACGAGAGCTTGGTCGAAGAGTTGGCACACCGAGATGAGCTCGAATATGAGAAGGTTTTTTTGCACCGAAACAATTCATAAACTTTCGAAAAAAATTTTAGGAGATGAAGAATTCGTTTATTTCTTTATTACTGTCAATTCAAAACAAGAGAAGGCAATTCTTGAATGAACGGAAAAGAAAAGGAGGGAAAATCGATCCAGCAACACTGCCACAGGTAAAAAAGGAGGGAAATGGGAACTGAATATTTAAAAAAAACTATCGAATAACGAAACGTACCTTACTCTTTAAAACACTACAGTCTTTACATTCTCATATATTTAGTACATGACAGCCTCAATCCCGTTCAACGAGGGAATCCCGCCCGATAACGCCACGCTGGCCTCGTTGATTAAAAGTCAGCTTTGAAAAGTGTTTCTAAAATGTTTCTGGAGTTAAAATTAAAATTAAAAATCTGGAAATGATTGTTAAGTCAACAAAATAACAAAATTTCAGTTTTGAAAGCAATCAACGAGGACAGTCCCGCCGTGCCATCAATGCTTACTGAATATATCCTGACAGGTCAGTGATACGAGACTCGAGGCTAGGATAAACAAAGGATTTCTTCTAAATATAGATACACGATATCCAATCCATTTCAGTTGTCTGCCCGTCACCAAAAATGGCGTCATCGATCGTTTGCTAGTCATCACTGCGATTCCCCTTTCATGTGATACTCATCTCTGTCTCTTTTCTCCTTTAAATTGGCCCCCGACCGGTGCTATCCGACTTAAATTCACGATCTCTTGATTTCCCGAATTTTGTGATTTTCTTAGCGACACGTTCAGTTCAGTATTTTCTCCCAAAGAGCCCTTGCAATTTAAATGTTCGGCTTGCAAAAATTAGGCAAACTTTGAATTTTCCCCCGAAATGGGATGCTAAAGCGCGGTTGATTTTTTTTTGTCTACTCTAATCACAAATATATCATTGGTATGCTTATGTGCTTTCTTTTCCTTTATCGTTTTGAAATTTTTCTAACCTCGATTCTCTCGAGAAGAACAAAGATTATTGAGTGTATTTTACAAGCTTCGATAAAAATTTATCTGAAAAAAATTCAAAATGCAAAGAATTTAAGAATACTTCGTTATCCTCAGCGGCAAGTTAGGATGAAGAGAGCCGGCGGAGATTTTCGCTTTCGGTTTCTGAACTCGCTCACGGATATCGTCACCTAAATGGTGAGATAACAGTATCCATTCAAGGTATTCCCAAGTGTTTCGTCTTTTTATGATCCTCCATCAAAACTTGTTCTTTTCCAATAGGATTAAAAGTATATCAAATGCTTTTCTAGATATAGTAATACATAGGTATAAAAAGAATGTTGATAGAAAAGTAAATAAACTCACCGATATCTTCCCGTGATAGACAATAAAGTTGATCGGGTATCTTATCCCACGGAATAACTGCTGATGATCTTAAAGAAATTCTTTATCTCGAATAGGTTAAAAGTTTACCTGTGATTGAGTGATAAAATCCCGTTCCAAGCAATCATTTCTCCGTTATCTGTGCACAAACTTTTAGGGATCTAAAAAAGTGATCAAAACTGTAAATAAAGCGGAAAAACCTGAAAGCAACGAAGACCATAGTGAGAAACAACCTTTGAGAGCGCTTGTGCAATGTAGGCATTCGCTGCAACACCACCGCCAATGACAACGTGCTGACACTGAAATCAAATCATCAAATCATCAAATCATCAAATCATCAAATCAAAGCCAATATTATGCATATAAAGTATATAAAGCATAAACAAACTATCAAAAACCTTTTCTAAGTCTCCACTTTCTCGCAGAAAATTTAATGCTGCGTGCAAGCGTGAGGCGATATGTCGAGTGATGGAAAACTGAATTAAAATAACGTAAGAAAATTTGCACATAAACAACCTGTACGCTTGCACAAAAATCTTCTATACAAATTGATGATCCTTCTTTGGAGATCAACATCAGAAATGAGGCTTTGATTGAAGAGAAATCCGTGTCAGCAGCCCATGATGTAGATGGACCATTCACAGTGTATCGAAAGTGACCGTTAGATGAGGCACTAAACAAACTTTATCTACTAATTGTAAATGTAATTGGGATGCTACATCCGAAAGATGAAATATGGATTCTTGTAAACACACATTTTTGCGAGCCTTTCAACAGCGGCTCCAATATGCAGATGTTGGTATTCGGGCAATGTGTGCACTCCAATTTCTCGCCCTACCTCTAAAGAAATCTACTCAGGGTTTGAGGAAAATGAGTACCTTATCAAGACATTCTCCAGGCGATCCAGAAAATGATTGCCCGAGAAGACGAAAATTGTCCGGTGAATCGCAAACGGTAAAAAGGCAATGTCCACCCGATAATAGAACGGCGATAAACGGAAAACGAATCTCTTTATTAACCAATAGAGCCGAAAGTGCGTGTGCCCGCATGTGATGGATTGGGATGAGGTTGGTGCGGGCTCTCCTAAAATTCAACAATTTGTATATGAAAATCTCTACATTAAACGTATTAACTTTAATCTCTATAAAAATTTAGTTCTTCGATCTTTAGCAATGTAGTATTAAGCAATAAAAATCGTACCTCGCTATATTCAGTGCAACTTGCACTCCGGCTTTCAACGCAACAACTAATCCGGGTCGATTCGATACGGCAACACCGGAGAGATCTTGTAGTTGACAACCCGATTCTCGAAGGCATTCATCGATCATTGGCATCAAGTGATTTCTATGCTATAACATAAATTAAAAAGGCCCAAGAAGCACCGTTAATCGCTTAAAACTTTCTACAGCTAGAAATCAACAATTTACCTGTTCAGCGGCTATTGAAGGCACAATTCCGCCAAGTCGGGCTTGGATCTCTCGATTTGCATAGGCTCTACGTGCCAGAACTTCTCCATCGCCATTGACTAAGGCCACGGCGGAATCGTCGCAACTAAATGGCAAAAATTTCGTTAATCAAAGAGTGTTACAAAATACCAGCAAACCAGCATATCAAATTTCAATGGCAGATTTGAATTTGGAAATGGAAGATAAACCACGTAAATGATTAGGTAATACACTACCAAGTAATAGATTTTAATATGCTGGTTAATGCCGTCTCTGCAATACTGTGTTCTGAATCTTTGTTTAAATTGGTGGCTGGTTTGGTTGTCATTTTGTGTATAGTTCAGATGTTTGCGCTCTTAAACTTTATCGGTATAAAATAAAGTGTTCTATAAATTTTAAAAAAACCTACCTTGCCTCAATTCCAAGAACCGTCGTTCGATATGTTCTCAACGCAATCCCTGCCACTGTCGGGTTCCATCTAGTGGATATCGAAAACATTGTTCTGAAGATGGAAAAAAGTTGCAAAGATGTAAAATAAGACAAATAATGAATGGTCAATCAAAAGAAGAGCTAACATAATAAAATTACTTTGCAAAAGATATTAAGTCCTTCAACTCAATTCGTTAAACCGATTACTGTAGGCAAAGGAAGGATTTAAAAGCAATTTTGCACGAAATTGTATTTTTACTTTCCCGTTACTTGACTGATTTTTATTTTTACTTTTTGCTTTAGGGTTTTCATTTCTTTTCACTGACAGTTCAAAATGGCGCCGCTTATTTATTTAAAGTAGTCTTTGTTGGCATGTTGCCAAGTGGGCAATTCTTGGGTCCCCAATTCAAATCTCTCTTTGACAATTTCGTTGCTCGATCTTTCTCTGGCATCATTTTTTTTCTGTTTATCTTTGCGCAATTTCTGACACTTCTTACGTGAATGAATTAAGCAATAAAATTTTGTTTTGCTTCATATAAAGTCGCTGTTTTTCTTTTAGAATGAGCCAAAGTCGTGTTTTCATTGGCCACCTCTCTTCGCGGGCTTCGGAACGTGACGTCGAGCACTTCTTTCGTGGATATGGACGCATCAGGGACATCGTGCTCAAGAATGGCTTTGGATTTGTGGTTAGGGTTTTTATTGTTTTAAATTGATCAAATGCCGGTTAGTTAGGCTAAGGCAAGTTCTGAAACTGGTTGTGAAGCAAGGTGTAAATACGAAAGTTTAACGTTATAAAAAGAACGTCTTTGCAATTTTCAAAGTTGTTATTTAGCAATTCGATGATGATCGCGATGCGGACGATGCCATCTACGAGCTGAATGGAAAGGATTTGGCTGGTGAACGTGTCATTCTCGAGTTCTCTCGTCGTGGTCCAAGAGAACGTGATCGTGGATATGGTGATCGAGACCGCTCGGGAGGTCGTCATGGTGGACGCGACAGTGGGCGAGATCATGGCCGAGGTGGACGTCAAGGGGGCAGGTATGATAATTGCGAGTAACACGGTCTTTGTTATTTCCTCAGTTTTTGGCAATTCTTACGTTTTAGGTTTGGACCACCGACGCAAACAAGACATCGAATGCTGGTGGAAAATTTGTCGACTGGAGTCTCCTGGCAGTTATGTTTTTAATTCGTTTCACGGCAAGTCAGAGGGGATTCATGCAATTCGGTCTCTCGCCTCGTGTGATGAGGATTCAAAAATTTTGCTCGTGTTTTTTGTTCGTTCGTTTTCTGAGGGGGGTGGCCTTCAGCTGGCAGGCGGTTACCAAACGGTCAGTACTCGTTGAACGCTTCTCACGAATAAAATTTTATGGATTGGATTTTAGCTCTTGCAATTTCTTTTTTAATGGTTTAATTTTAGGATCTCAAGGATATGATGCGCAATGCTGGCGAGGTTACCTATGCGGATGCTCACAAGACTCGTCGCAACGAAGCGTTAGTTTATGGAATTTAGAATGTTTCATTTGGTGAATTCAGGATTGTTTGCTTTGCATCGCGGGATGACTTACTTCGAGCCATTGAGAAATATCAAGGAAAGGATCTTAATGGCCGTGAAATCAAACTCATTGATGACTCGGAGAAACGTAGCCGAAGCCGCTCAAAGTCAAAGAGGTGGGTTTTAACTTCATGGAACTTTATAGACTAATTTTAGCCGCTCTCGTTCACGCTCACGCAGTCCAAGGTCAGCTTCTCGTAGTGGCTCGCGCAGCCGCAGCCGCTCTCGTTCCAAGTCGGATAGCCGTGATCGCAAGTGAGTTTGTCATGTTTTTTTGCATGCTTTCTTTTATTTTAGGTCTCGCAGCCGTTCTGGTTCGCCTGCAAAGAAAGAAAAGGAAGAAAGCCGCTCGCGCTCCCGATCTCATTCGCGCGATTGATGAAGATCTGAAACACACATTTTGTAATTTATTTGGTATATGTTCTCTGGTTTTTATTTTTTATGGTTAAAATAAACTTTCCTTGGTTTTTCGGTATTTTCGCTTATTTGGGTTGGTTTCCTGAATCTACTTATGGGAAAAATAGATTGAAGAGATTTTAATTTGGCATTTAGAATGGTGGCAGTAGAGATGCTTGAAAAGGAAGGCGAGATCGTTGAGGATTCATTGGTCGGTGGATTCAGTTCACTTGTTTTCCAAAATATTTCTTTAGGTCACTGACCAAGCTCACGACACTTCGCCAGAAAAACAATCGACATCTGGTGCTGCTTCTCCGTAGGTTTTCGTTTGCTAGAGTTTCGTACAACTGTATAGCTTTTGAACCGTAGGTGTAATACATGAATTCTTTTAGTGAGGCTCCTAAATCAGCTCTCGTTAAAGGCTCCAAGCAATCCAGGAAGGCCGAAATGAGAAATAAACGCGAGAAGAAAAAGGAGGTACCTAAATCATGACAAAGCCGTTAATTAAGTTTTCGTGTTCAGGCCAAGGCAGTCAGTGCCAACCGGCAATCGATCCAAGTGAAGACCATGGATGAGTTTATCAAGGAGGTAAATCTTTGCTCATTGAAACCTCTATTTGTCGTTTTAGTTGGAGTTCGCCAAGGTAAAGAAAGATCTGATGGCACACTTTGCAAAGATGGAGGTCTCACCCCCACAAGAATGAACATACCAATGCTAATGTGAACGAGTAATGTGTAGTCTTTTTTTTTTACATTTGTTTCAATTATCTGTGTTAGTCTTTATTCGTGATTCACTTTGTCAAGTTCCAGTCTTTGCCGTATTCCATAATAAACGGGTTGTTACACTGATTTGATAAACTTTATTCTTGGAATGGGTATACTCTCACTTGAGTTGCATTGGGAATTATGCATCGACGATTGCGGTCATTAAAAGATCTAGACAGTCATCAGCACATGAACGAGAACCTAAAGGAAATTGACGAAGCCAAGTGAGTTTGCAAAGATTCTGGTAAAGCCTTCCACAAAACGTTTACGGAAATATATTTTGAGGATTAATCAAGTTGATCCTTTCAAAATCTAGCGGCACCACAAAGACCAATGGTTCACTTCTGAGCGCCAAACAACTGAGGAAAGCGGAGAAAAGAAAGGAGAAAGAAAAGCGCAAAGAGAACAAAAAGGAGTCACCAATCGAAGTGAAATCGATAAAAGAGTTCAGCGAAGAGGTGAGTCGAATCAGAAACCAATTTTTGAAGAAAGCTGGAGTGTTGAATACGTTTAAGGTTGAGGTGAACAGACTGAAAGAGTTGCTGCTACGAAATCATTATACAACTAATGGAAAGCGCCATGTTGCAGATAAAATGTGAGATTGGATAAAAGTGCTAGTTGAAATATGAACTAGAATTACAGGAGCACGTCAAATGTTCGAATTGCTCTCACGGCTGGCTATGGAATAGCTGGATCGGGTTATGGAGATCGATTGGGAAATGATGATGATCATAAAGCTGAACAACAGTATTCCGATTTGTACTCACCAGTCAACTATGATGAGAAGTATTTTGAGGTATCGATTTCACAATTAAAATCCAAGTACTGTTTCTAAAATTAAAATAGTCTTTAAAAAAATCCGTTTAGCACGCCGCGAAATGGGTTGACAGAAAATATCAGACACATCGACCGCTCACTCAAATCTGGCAAACGATTCGATCGGTGAGCTGGGGAAAATGGAATCTTAAAGCAGTTTCCTAGGCCACGAAAGATAGCAAGGACAATTGGATGTCAAAGTTTTTGAGCAGTGTTGCTGAGGGTCGGATTCAGCAGGTATTAGCTTAATAAAGTCAAAATCTTATCCACAATTGATTTAATGATGACAGTCCTTTTTTTTAGGTTACCACTGGAATCAATCACATTGAACAAGTGTTGCGAGGACGTCAGACTGACGAGAATCGGTTCCGGTTTATGGAGCGAAGCGAGCTGTTGAGTGTGATCGCCAAGGTAGGCACGATTTCAGAACTGGAATTGCTGAAATTTTAGATGATTGTTGAGAAATTGTCCGACGATCGAGTTGGGAACAATATTATAATGCTTTTGTCTGCTGGCTGTTTCGGGCCAAAACCTTGCCACTCGAGGGGGCACTCGGTTTGCAGGTAACTGATGGAAATGATGCAAGAAGGGATCGAGAAGATTGATCAAAAACTTGTAATCGTAATTAATTGTTAAAGTTGATGGTGCTAAACCAAGACTCATACACTTTATTGATCAGCGTTTCCTTGGAAAAACGGGACTCTTCGACTGAACGCAGATTTCAGCACTCTTCACTTGTTACTCGCTTCTTTAACCGAACACGATCGTCGACGTGTCTTGTCGATTCGCTCGAATCTCGAGGGATACCTTCCATTGCACTTTGCTGCAATGTTTGGCCAGCCTTGTCAAATGGCTGTTTTGCTCAATTTTGGTAGAACCTTTTTTTAGCTGATCAAATAAAGGGTGTTCCAAAAAAAAGTCAATTCAGCTCGATTTTTTTTCTTTCTCAGAATTTCTAGTGACTCCTGGGGGTTCTTTTGATGCAAAAGTGAATATTTTAGGGAAATTTTTGGTATTCTTACACTTTTTCCCGATTTTATGATCCGATACATGAAATTTTTAAGCCACCATGATCACTACTATAAGATTTTGCCATAAAATTAAAACTTTCTACTTGTGGTGCATAATAAACACTATTAGGATAACTACAAATTTAAAACCATACACTTGATTGATCAACGTTTCCTTGGAAAAAAGGAAACTTCTTTAAAAAAAGGCACGTTGAAAATCTCTTATGTACGACGAGAGATTATCATATAATGTAGATAAATAAAGTGTTTGGCTAAAAATCTTAATTTATATATTCTTTCTGAGGAAAATCGAGCTGAACTGAGTTGTTTTTTTTTTTGTTTTGGAACACTTTGTAGAGTTCAGGTGCGAATCCGAATGTTCATGATAATTATGGAAATCTACCGTGTTTTTATGTGTTGCAGAGGAATAATGTGATGATGGTTTGAGTGGAAATCGTGATGGAAATAACTGAATTTCTAGATTCGACAACTTTTATGGGCCGGTGCTGATATGAATTCGGCGTTAATGGAGACTGTTCACCCGTATCGAACAGATGTTGATTGTCTTGAGGTTTGAAAAAAAAAGATTAAAATCATAGTTGATGTTGAAAAGATGGTAGATTAGGGTTGTTTTTTAGGTCGAAGAATGGCTACGTCTTCGTCTAGCGTCGATGGAAGAAGCTGTTTACGGGTGGACTTGTAGCTCGCTGGAGCACTTGTTTAGGGTTTGTCTATCTTGAAGAATATTTAAATCTATCTTGAAGAATATTTAATTATTGTTTGAGCTTCTGTAAAGCCCAGAGAAACTAACGTAATCAAAAGGGTAACGGGTTAGAAAAAATTTGGCTTTAGAAAGCATCCTAACAAGCAGACTCGTAAGCAGACTCGTAAGCGTAAAATTGAATATCTTTTGATTTTAAAAACAAAACACAACGAATGGGGCGGCTACGCAATGCGACGGAAAAAGCGCAAAACGTAGCTGCCCCATTTGTTGACTTTTTCTTTGCAAATTAAAAGATATTCAATTTTTCGCTTTTTTTTCTGTCTGTCTACAAGTCTATTGGAATTACAAATCTATCTAATATCCACAAAATGTAGATAAACCGAAAAGTCTCTCGATTGCATCAAATGCGAGTGAACTGTGATGGAGATGATACGGCGCAAAAGCGGGGATTCGAGAATTTCGACGATTCGAACTCCTTCACTGTTCGGAATTTCATTTTTAGTGCAATTAAAGTTTTCAGAGAAAAATCCAATTATTAATCGATGAGGATGACGAGTCAATTCGATGGGGAACAAATGACTCTTTGGTATCGGAGTTGAAATTATCAAAGAGATCAATGAATTTAGCTTTTGATGGTAATTCCCGTGCAATGGACCCATTTCGAATCAAGCACTCCTCCCGAATTTCCGCATCTCATTCGAATCGGATTGTTCAAAAGCGATCAAAAGACCCCGATCAAGTTCTTTAGTGATGCGAAGTGAGTTGGAAGTCTTCTTTGGAAGAAATCATCTTTTTAGGATCTCGAGTGGATGCGGTAGTCCAAAGGCGTTGACCTCTCCACTTTCACTGATTGACAATGGCTATTTTTATCTCTACACGTTGCCGAAAGGGTTTCCTCGTAAGTTGCAAAGTGAAATGTTGCAATTGTGAGATTTAACTAAAGATTTTGGCACTTGTTATAGGTGACTCAAATCCGACGCTGAACTTTACGATCAATAAGACTTTTCTCGGGGAGAGAGCGAAACACTGGAGGCTGTTGATTCAGGTAGGAACTGGATAGACATTGGATCAAGCCATTGCAAGCCAAAATACATTCAAAACCAGTTTTTATGCTTTACTATGCTTAGTTATAATATTAGATTTTTAAACCAAAAAAAATCGACTTTTGGACTTTTATACCGTAAAGTACAATTTAGCCGTATTTCTTCTTGAGAGACTTATCCACAAAATGGCGCGCCTTGCTATAAAGAAAAAGCAAAAAAGCAAATTTAGCTGCATAAGCAAAATGATGGGATGACTCAGCGTTTTTTTGTTTGTCGAAAACCGACTTTCAAAAGTGACCGAAATTCAAAAAAACAAACCGTTTTAGGCTTTTGCGGCCACTCCCGTTCAATGACACCGAATCGATCAATGAACACAGATTGTCCCTTTGATCAGATGCTTTTATCTACACAAGAATAAGACACGGGTCACCAAAGTTCCTTTTTTCCCTGTGATTGAAACGTTTACTGCGACAGCCTTTCGATTTTTACTAGCATATTGAGAGTTTCTTTATCAAATTGTCAAATAAATTTTATTTCTTTGACAAAGAGCATTTCTTTGATTCAACGTGAATAACGTTTTCATATAACTTTGCAAAAATGTTCCGGTTATATAGCAAAATTTAAGATTTCTCTGTGCGTAGCAGCCCATTTTCTTTCAGTCAATGTGCTTCCGGGATGCTATGCAGTAAGAAAGTGGCATGAAACGGGAAATCCTGTAAAAAATTCAGTTATTCGATCGGCTTTTTTGAACAACTAGTAAAATCTAGGCTGGCGTTCATGCCGGTATGAATACCGAGAAAATTCATGCTCACAAGTGTGTTCTTCTCAAGTAATAGTGCAAAATAGAAAACAACATTGACTGAATATTTTAAAAATAAGGATAAATGCATCTATTTTTAAAATATTCAGGCAAGTTATGTTTCCTATTTTGCACTATTACTTGAGAGGAACACACTCTACTCACAAGGGAAGCTGACGAAATCAAAGTGGCCAATCGATCTTATTCAAAAATATTCAAAAATTTTGTTCAAATGTTTCTATTTAACTGTTCAACAACAAATAATATTCTGCATCGGATGGTCTAGGTCTCATTTCGATTGGCCACCTTCATTCCGTGACCTTCCCTTGGCAGTTACTTTTTACTTTTTCTAGAAAAAGTACTAGGTTTGTGTATACGCGTAATCTTTTTCTAGAAGTTGCGCTCCATTTTTTGGTTTACTTGCTAATTTGTGCGCTAAAAAAATGGAGCGCAACTTCTAGAAAAAGATTACGCGTATTTTACCTTAGAATCTTAATAAGTTTTTAGAAAGAGTAAAGGGTAACTGAGCATGAATTTTTTGGAAAAAAACGGTATAAAGCATGAATTTTACTAGTTGCCGCTTTTTTGCGATCTCGCGCTCTCCCCTTTAATCGATCCGTTTTGTCTGTTGCCATCGTTTCCCCATTAATTTTACGCATCATAAAGTCCATTGGTCCATTGATTCGATTACGCATATATTTTCGTTTCTTTCCCGTTTTGATAACTTTCTGGCACTTTTACACACGTTTGGCTTTAGATGCCAGGAAGGCGTCGTTTGAATGTTGACGACTACCACAGCTCGAGCAGTCCGGTCAGGCGCCGAAGACGTGTTGATGAAAACGGGTGATTATTTTTGCTTTTTCTATATTTAAAGTTCCCATTTGCGTGTTTTAACATCAAGTGAGCTATAGAGCAGTGACAAACCTTACCTAAACCTTGTCCTAAGTTGACCCTACTTTTAGCATTCCTCCAAAAGTGTTTAGTGATGCGTTTGAAGCATTGATTTTTCGAAATGATATCAAAATTCCTGCCCCACACATCGTTGGGGCTGTTGTTTTTGTTTGGAAAATGTTCCTCTTTAGACCTCTCTTGTCGCCCTTCTCTTTTTCTGTTATACTCAGCGCCATTTCCTCTTCTTTACAGCCATATTTCAACGACTAGTATGGTTGCATTTTTATTACCGCAAGTGCAATCACCCATCAAACAAAACGAATAGACCTTTATTTGCCTCTTAGCCCAGTTGTCGTTTTGGTCTCTCGTCAGGTGGTGTTTTTTACGGATCATCCCCGCGGCCCCCTCTTGTCGCTTTATCACTTTTGGTTTCGAATTAAGCTAACGCCACCCATTCACCTCAGTTTTCCCCCTTTAAAGCGAATGTTTCATGTAAATTTGATTGATTATTGATTCAATGTTTACATTTAGGAGCAACACTCCACCACGGAATGCAGGCATGCTTTCAAAGGAACAACAAGAGCGTCGAGATGCCGAGATGGCATTGGAATTGCAGGTAACTGCTTAATTAATATGGCGTTTTATCTTTTCTTTTTAGCGAGAAGAGGAAGAACTATTGATTCGCGAGCGTGCGCAGGTTATCGAACCTACGCTCACTCCTGGAGCTCTTTGTGAGTGTATTCCTTTTTTCTATTTTGACTATTAAATTTAGTACGCATTATTGGTGATTCTCTTGCGACAAATGCAGCCCCAGCTGGTCATTTGGGTAACGTTTTGGAATTTAAATTGTTCATTGATATCTTATCAAACAATAACTTAGTTTTAGGCACGTTGCGACGTAACAACTCAAATGTCCTCCAACGGTCACGGGGTCGCCACAATAGAACCCGCTCTAGAAGCCTTGATCTCCCGCGAGATACTGGAAACAACGTAAGTGTTTAAGCAACAATCAAGCTTGGTGGATCGTTAAAAGTTTGTGAAAAGACTAAATTTAGAACTGCTGTCATTGATTTTAGCATTTAGTTTGTTTTAGTAGTAGAAACACTATTAAGAAATTATGTAATAAAATCATCAAACATGGTTTTCCCACCTCTCTTCCTGTAACCACTTCTGCATGCGAATGATGTGTTTGTTCTAGGTTGTGGTGTTGCTGCTCAATTCGGGTAATTCTTCGAGCATGCAAGCCGTAGCGGATACTCTAATCGAAATTGGAACAAGAATGCAAGCAGTAAATGGTTTAGAATTCAATGTACAGACAGACGAAACACAATCCATGACAAGTGATGAAACCGAAGAAATTGAAAGCGATGAGTCGGTTGATCTGGAAGAAAGTATGGATACGGAATATAGCAGCAGTGAAATGTCTTTTACTGGCCTCAACGCTTTTGAATCGGATGAATTCGAAGACTCATCGAATGGATCTCTCTCATCGGAAGACTCGATCATGTACTCGGATGAACACGAGCGTGGTTTGACGGATTCAGGAGAAAGTGATGTTCATTTGAATGATTCGATGGATGATTTGGAATCGGAAAACAATTTGAGCACGGGCGATAAAAATGACGATGAGTCTGAAGAGGGTTCCACTCAATCGTTCGACTCTGAAGATGATGATGATGATGATCAGATTTCGGATGGCGAGATTTCTGACTATTCATCCGAATCTGAAGAACTGGAAGTCACTCCGGGAAGAATGGCTATTTATTTGTCTATCTCAGAAGAGTCACTGAGTTACGAATCTTTGCACGATCGCGCAAGTGGTGGAGGCTCGATGAATGATGCCCAAATTGAAGTGTGTTGTTTTTACCTTTTACCTTTTTACCTAGAATACATGCCCCATTCACTTTGGTGTGGAAATTTAGCCTTTTCACTTACTATGAAGAAAAAGATCAAACTTATAATGTTTTAACCAACTAAGGAGCAGTTTTAGCTTGCCTCAAGTGACGGTGATGACATGTTTGATGGAGAACTAACGCTTGGAGTAATTTTTTTGCGAAACAAAAAGCCTTTTTGTTTAGGATGATTCCGAGATTGACAGTGGTGATTCAGAAGATGGAGATGATGAGGACGAGAACGAGTCAATTGCCAGCAGTAACGATGGATCAGACGTTTGTCGTATTTACACCTGCTTACATTGCGTTTCCTTTAGGATCATTCAATCGAAGAAGAGGGTGAATTGAATGGTGCAAGTGCTGGCTCCACAACTGAGGAAGGCGAGAGTGGTGATGATGATGACGTCAGTTCGCTCTCATCGGGCTCATCAATGGATGGCAAGTTTATTTTAAAATTGCTTATTTACCATTGTTGATTTTGGTTGAGCTTGGTCAACCACTTATGTTCGCAGAAGTGAACGGTTGGTTTGATTGAGTTAGTGAATTGGTTTAATGCCCCTTTTAGGACCCCTTGGAAGGCATTTAATGTCTGGACAACTTTTGCGTATTAGTAATTTGGTAAGAATAAGGATTTATTTGCTGTAAACAATTGCTAATATTTAGTTGTTAGCTAGCGAACGACGTGAACGCCGTGATACCACTCCACTTGAAGAACCTCGAGACGAAACGGTTTTGTTAATGTTTTTTATTGGAGACCATCGCTTACTTTAGATGATTCAGTGCTCAGACTGGGGTCAATGCACGATTTGCTTCGAGGATGCACCATATGATCCCGTTGGATGTCTTCATTGTCAGCAATTGATTGGATGCAAGCCGTAGGAATTTCTTTCTGAACTTGGTAAATTGTTTGTTTTTTTAAGGTGTGTGAATCGCTGGTTCCTCGGAAGCAGGCGTCAACGTGCAGATAGTCCATTGAGTCTCGGACTATCGGGAGTCAATCATCGGTAAGTGACTTATAAAATTGCGATAAGGTCAGCTATAGCACCACTCAGTCAACAGATCACTCTAATTTTTATAATTAGGCAATGCCCTCTGTGCCGTCACGAGTATGAGGCTGGCACTCCCGAGGTTGGCTCTATGTTTGTTCTCGCGCCAAAGCATTAGACCGGAAATTTCAACTTTAACTTGATTTTTGCTACGGTGTGCATTTCTTCTCGTTTGTTGAATACGAGTTTAACGTTTGAAATCCATTTTTGATTGTTCCAACCTTTCGCCTGGTAACTTCAGTCATTTAACATCTCATGCTTTGCCTTGTCATTTTCCCCGATTTTGCGACACTTCTGCTGTTATTTATCGTTTTTCAAAGTGATACGCCTTCCCCTCTTATTGCTCACTTTCCAATTATGAACTTTATGTTATCACGTGTTCTTTTTGTATTGTTTTTTTTGAGGCATTAGACATATCTTAAGGCTGGTATTATTGTCTCCTCCACAAAAATGAATTACGAGTGTCTTGTGATTATGCCAAGAAATAAATAGTCTTAAATTTTAAGTCGAACTTTGGAAATGGATGCAAAACATGTTATGGTGTGAGCTAGTTTGCAAGATTGTTTGTCGAAAAATCTTTCGAAATTGGCAGACTTAATGTTAGCCTAAAGTTCACTTATCAACATAGTTTTTTAAAAAGATTAATTCGAAGGCATCACTATTCCTTTTGTTGCTCAAGAATATCCCAGGTTAGTTGAAGTTTTTTGCCAATCTGAAGTCAACTCGACTCGTTTATCGCCTTTTGGACTCTTCTCTCTTATCGACTTTTTGTCTGTGTTTATTGGAAAAGGGGTTCTTTCCGTTTATCTTGCATTTCCACTGCCTCCGCGAACTCCTTCATCTCGTCCCACATTGACCGCTCCTTCATCGTCGTATCTCCAGTGATCCATCGATCTCCGTAGTTTGGAACATAGACGAGTTGACCGGTGACCCTCAGGCGGACAAGGCAAGCGAGGGTCACCGGTCAACTCGTAAAAGGTACTTCCAGCTGGTCTCAGTCTCTCACACGCAAAGCAGCAGGTCAGCTCGCTTTGATGTTCCAAACTACGGAGATCGATGGATCACCAGAGATGCGACGATGAAGGAGCGGTCAATTTGAGACGAGATGAAGGAGTTCGTGGAGGCGGTGGCGACTGATCATCTTCCCATCCTGCTACGTCTTATCACCCTCATGCTTCTCTTGCACAAGCTTATCAAATTTGTTGTCAGGCTGTTCCTTTAACTTTTTGTGTGATGCGGGAGTGTGTAGAAAAGTAGGCCTTTTCTGTGAAAAATTGAAATCTTATTTGATGTCTTGATTTTGAACATCTCTGACTCTCTTTCCTCGTCTCTAAAGATCGTTTTGTGATAAAATGAACAGAGCTCCACTTTATATTCTCTTTCTTGCTATAACCACTGAACCAACGATTGATTTGATTTATTGAATTTCCCGCTGAATTATTGTGCTAGATTCTGAATAAAGTGTTCATCCCCATCCATCCCCCTTTCATTCTCTCTTATACACTGCACAATAACGTTTTGCATTCGATCCATTTCCAAAGTTGGACTCAAGATTCAAGACTATTTATCCGTTGAGATAATCACATCTTTGTGGAGGAAACGATAATGCTAGCCTTAACACATGTCTAATGCCTCAAAACGCAATAAAAAAGAACCTGATCAAATAAAGTTCATAATACTAGTATATGGGAAAACGACAAAAAAGGGTATTTGGAAGAAACCAATATATCAGTAATTTTCCTTATAATTGGAAAGTGATCAATAAGAGGGCGTGTATCACTCTGAAAAACGATAAATAACAGCAGAAGTGTCGCAAAATCGGGAGAAAATGACAAGGCAAAGCATACATGAGACGTTAAAAGAAGTTACCAGGCGAAAGTTTCGAACCTTCAAAAATCGATACAAATATAAACGTTAAACTCGTATTCAACAAACGAGAAGAAATGCACACCGTAGCAAAAATGTAGTTAAAGTTGAAATTTTCCCTCTAATGCTTTGGCGCGAGATCAAACATCGAGCGACCCTCGGGAGCGCCAGCTTCATACTCGTGACGGCACAGAGGGCATTGCCTAATTTTAAAAATTAGAGTGATCCATTGACTGAGTGGTGCTATAGCTGAACTTTTCAAAAACTTTTCTGAACAATTTTATAAATCTCTTACCTGCTGTTGAGGAACCAGCGATTCGCACACCTTAAACAAACAAATTACAAAAAACAAACAAAAAAAGTCCAGAAAGAAATTCCTACGGCTTGCATCCAATCAATTGCTGACAACGAAGACATCCAACGGGATCATATGGTGCATCCTCGAAGCAAATCGTGCATTCACCCCAGTCTGAGCATTGAATCACCTAAAGTAAGCAACGGTCTCTAATAAAAATTCACAAAACCGTTTCGTCTCGAGGTTCTTCAAGTGGAGTGGTATCACGTCGGTGGGCCTGTCGACGCTGGCGAAACAACTGTTCTTCCTCTAGTCGCTTAAAAAAAGATAAAGCCCCATATTACTCGACCCGTCACCTGCGATATTCTTTGGGCCTGTCGACGCTGGCGAATCAACTCTTCTTGCTGATGTTGATGATGTCGTCCGTCAGCGAACTGGCGACCGAACAAAGATTCGTGAAGTGGACCGGTATCACGTCGGTGGGGCTGTCGACGCTGGCGAATCAACTGTCCTTCCCCTTCCTCTCGCCAAAAAGAAAAGATAAAAGGCCATATTAATCGATCCGTTACCTGCAATCCTGCATGTCGACTCTCGCGGCGAATAAATAGTTCTTCCTCTTCTCGCTAAAAAGAAAAGATAAAACGCCATATTAATTAACCCGTTACCTGCAATTCCAATGCCATTTCGGCATCTCGACGCTCTTGTTCTTCTTTTGAAAGCATGCCCACATTCCGTGGTGCAGTGTTGAAGTGTATTGTGTTGAAGGGTTGTTGGAAGGGTTGTTGTTGGAAGGGTTGTTGTTGGAAGGGTTGTTGTTGGAAGGGTTGTTGTTGGAAGGGTTGTGGAAAGTGTTGTGGAAAGTGTTGTTGCAAGTCTTGTTGAAAGCTGCAAGTGTTGGAGTGAGTGAATATGTTTGGATTGAATCTAAATCGGATATCCAATTGAAATATTATTGCACAGTAAGGTACCACGTTTTTAATCATTTTCTAGAAATTTCCTAGAAGTTTAACTCTCGCAACCTAAAACAGCCCGTTAGCACCACATTTGGTAATAATAAAGTTGGGGGGACACTTTTTCTTTCTTCAAAACCACTTTTTCTGAGGTAGTTTTATGCGTAGATTCCGAAAAACCCAAAGAGAGCTTGGGAAAATGCGTTTTAAGCCAAATTTCGGGGAAATAAAAGAAAGCCTTTTTTTCCGCAAGATGTGGTGCTAACGGGCTATTCTAGGTTACTAGACTATGCACTTTTATGAAATTGTTCGAAAATGATTAAAAACATTGCAAAAACATGACATCCTACCGTGTAATAATCGGATACAACATATACAAACAGCAAAAATAATTACCCGTCTTCATCAACACGTCTTCGGCGCCTGATCGGGCTGCTCGAGCGGTGGTCGTCAACATCCAAACGATGTCTTCCTGACATCTAAAGCCAAACGTATGTAAAAGCGTCAGAAAGTTATCAAAACGGGAAAGAACCGAAAATATAAGCGTAATGGATTCAATGGATAGGCTGTACGATTTTCTGATGCGCAAACCTAATGGAAAAATGATGGGAACTGACAAAAATAATCGATGAACGGGGACAGGGCGAGATCGCAGAAAGCTGATTGAATAAATGAGCTTTTAGGGGAGTGGAACAAATACAATTCCATGCAACTTTCTTATTGCGTAGCATCCCGGAAGCACATTGACTGAAAAAAATGGGTTGCTAGAAATCTTAAAATTTGCTATATAAGCGGAACTTATTTGCAGTTATATGAAAAAGTCGGGAGTGGGACAGATGCGACCTTTTTTTGCGTAGAATCGAAATTTTGACATATCAGAGCTTGTGGAACCAATTTGAAAGACAAAACGGCTAGATCAAATTACAGAAAATTGTCGATTTTTCTCTTTGTATAACTCCGTCCGTTTGTTTCCACAAGCTCTGATATGCCAAAATTTCGATTCTACGCCCTAAAATTACCTAGAAAAACAACTTTTGGAATAGAAATTGGTTAATATTAGCTTAAAAAAAAGAGCTTTTTTAAAACGCGAAAAAAGGTGCGCTAATGGGCTAAGTGCGGAAAAAAAGGTGCGCAAATGTCCGGGTGCGCAAAAAAAAGGTCGCATTTGTCCCACTCCCGTTTTTTGTGCATAACGAGGCATAGTAAAGCATAAAAACTGGTTTTCAATGTATTTAGGCTCTGGACCGTAAAGTTCAATTTAGTCAGAAATACAAAATGTTAGTTACGTGAAGAGTTTCGTGATGTCATTGAGTACGAGATAAAGACATCTCTTAAGGCTGGTATTATCGTTTCAATACAGAAATACAATAAATCAAATCCATCGTACAATACACCCATGCACAAAAAAAAATGTCACATCGTTTTTACAAAACTTTACGCCTAAATTTGACCTACTAAACGTGTTCCAAATTCTATGCTGTCAAAAGGTTTTAGATAGCAAAAAGCTTCTACTTTCTTGTGAAAAAGTGTTAAAGTTCCAGCAATTTGTTTAAATTTTTATTTTTCAATAAATACCGGAAGAACACCAAAAACGGGTGCACAAAAAAATGTCACATTTAGCTTGAACCTGCTTTTTTTCCGTTTTACTTTTTTTTGATTGCATTCTTTTATGCTAATTTTTAAATTTTAGAATGGTAAAATCACAGCTCTCAACGCCAGACAAAGAAAAGATTGTTGAAGCAAGGAAACAAGGAATCCCGCGGAAACAGGTGGCCGAGCTGTTCAAATGTGATGTAAGAACCGTTTCTCGCATTGCTGCGAAGTCGAGAACGACTGGAAATTTGCACAGGACACCAGGAAGTGGACGGCCACCAGCCACTACACCACGCGAAGACAAGGCTTTGATTTTGGCGCACAGTAAGGACCCGAATCTTAACGCGTCGGATGGTGTTTACCTCATCAAGCAACAATTCGGCAAGGATATCAATCGAATGACAGTGAGCCGACGCTTGAATCGAGCAGGATTGATAACTAGAAGGGCCGCCAAGAAGCCTCTGATGGTTGCCAAGCACAGGAAGATCCGACTCGAGTTCGCAAAAAAAAGTACCAAAGTTGGACGCCGAATGACTGGGCCAATGTCATTTTCACCGATGAGTCGAAGATCAATCTCTTCAACCCTAATGGCAATCACTTGATCCGGAGACCAGTTGGACAACGCCATAACATCAAATACTTGCGGCCGACAGTCAAATTTGGTGGCGGATCGATTATGCTATGGGGTAAAAGACTTGTTCCCTTATGTCAACTAATCTTGCTTTTTTTCGGGAGCGATGACTAGAAGTTCACCAGGTCCGCTCGTCTTTCTCAACTCAACCTTGAAGGCCCAGCGGTACAAGACGATCCTGGAGAATGATCTTCTTCCATTTGCGACCACGAATATGGGACAAGGATGGTTGTTGTACCAGGATAACGCTCCGTGTCACAAGCACCAGATGTTGATAGGAAGGGTCGGCCGACTTTCAAACGGTGGAAGGGCTCGTTTACCGGGATGGTTCGCTGACAATCGTGTCAAGCTCGTCGCTGCTCCACCTTACAGCCCGGATCTCAACGTAATCGAGCATTTGTGGTCGCACATCAAGGGTAAACTGGAGGGCAAACGATTTGCGACCAAGGTTGAGCTTTGGTACTTCATTCGAAACGAATGGCGGAAAATTTCTCCTCAAATCTTGGAGGATTTGACTGATTCGATGCCACGGAGGATTCAGGCAGTTATTCAAGCTAAGGGAGGCCCGACAAAATATTAGATTTTTGTTTTTATCAATTTTTATTTTATGTGTGACATTTTTTTTGTGCACCTGTTTTTGGTGTTCTTCCGGTATTTATTGAAAAATAAAAATTTAAACAAATTGCTGGAACTTTAACACTTTTTCACAAGAAAGTAGAAGCTTTTTGCTATCTAAAACCTTTTGACAGCATAGAATTTGGAACACGTTTAGTAGGTCAAATTTAGGCGTAAAGTTTTGTAAAAACGATGTGACATTTTTTTGTGCATGGGTGTAAATAAAATCAAATCCAGCGGATTCGGAATATGTCCAGCCCAGCTAGATCTCTAGCTAGATCAGGCCACACTAGTTCAGCCCAATTCTAGGCCGCTTGACCACTCACTTACTCATCTCAAACGGGGTGAGCAGCGGTGGAGGGAGACCGGTTGCATCGTGATGAGTGAATCGAGAAGCGGCACTGCCACCCATTCTGAAATCAGAAGGTGCTAGCAAAAGCGCCAAAATCCTTTACGCCATTCTCATTTTCGACTCAGTTTAGCCGTTTGCTTTTGAGATTTTGCATTTTAAAACAGAAAAATGATTATCGTGGAACCCACACAAGAAAATTAGCATTTAAGAGCTAAAATATTACATGTAATTTTATGTCCTCATCAAACACCGGAGAGCTCATTTTTTAGTTGTCAAAGTTATCAAAATGTGGGTTTAAGCTTTCGTTTTCCGGAATTGACTTTCATTGACCCCGGCGAGGAGAGGCGAGGAAAGTGAACAGGTCGAGAGTCGAACAAAGCTCGACTGTCCAAAAAATCAAAAAAGTGTCCGGGTATTCTCTTACCGCCGAGTTATTTAATTGCCGATAAAGTGCCAGGAATCCCTCTCTGTTCACATGATCTTTTTGCTTGAGAAAAGAAATTTTTACCTTGCCAGAAAAACGCAACGACCAACGACCAACCAATGAGAAATTTTATTGAAATCAGATACCAAAGTTTACCGACAAAACGAGCTTAACCACATATCATCAATCAGTCTTTTTCTCTTAAACTATAACCATTTCTTCTTTCTTTGACGTATTTTTGGGTTTACAATAGAGTTTATATCAATGTCTATTTTCACCAACTATGAAAGCATAGTGTTAGAAGCTCAAGCTTTAGATCTAACTTAAACTAATTTATTGCAGAACTAGCTGGACAAAAAGACATGGCAATATAAAGGAATAGAAAGGTTTCTGCATATCACAATAACTCAATTGAATCGGCAAAGAGTAGCACGCATAAACTGGGAAATAAAATAGTCAAAAGAAAACGATAAATCATAAACAACAAAAAAAAAGTCAGATCAATCAACAATAGATATGACACTGATATCGAGTGGCACTTCTTGAACATCTGAATCATCATCCGAAGAGTCCGAGTGAAGAGCTGGCATTATTGGTGCCTCATTTTCGTCGGCCGAAAGCTAAATTCAAAATTGGATTCATTCTAACTGATAGTAAATGTCCGTATCCAGCACAGGAAAACCAAAGCCTTAGATTTTAGATGTTACAATCATCCCAAACCTCATCAAAATTTATTTTGAAGCCCTCACTAGGACTCTTCTTATCGTTTTCCATTTTGGGTCTCTCGACTTTCCATTTGGCTGACAACAATTGCATCACCTGAATAAAGAAAATTTACAGTTCAAGAAGAAAAATAAACCTCTTTGTGCGCAATGCCGGGTTTCTTCACCGTTGAATAGTGCAGTTTGACGAACTTCGCGAATGTGTTTTTGGGGCTTTGCGTTGTAGTGAGCGACCGTCGCTTGTATTCGCCCTTCGTTAGTACCTGAAAATAAATATAATTATGAGGACTTCAGCTAAAAGCTTACCTGTAGCTCAAAACGCCCTCGGCATACTCCACAAATTTTCTTGCTGATGTCCAGAGATTTTGAATGACGTCGGACCCTAAAATATCATTAACTGCCTCAATACCCAAAGGCACTCACTTTTGCCCACATCCATTGCACAAGTAAAGGTATTTGGCGACGATTTCGTAGTTGTGGCAACGAGAGACGAACGGAAGTTTTGGATGACGCTTCATGCAGATGTTTGCCCTAAAAAGTGCAAAATTTATAGCTTAACAGATGTTTAATAGCCCATAAAAACCAACCATTTACTCCAATAGGGTCCATGATGATCCCCCTCGACCTTGTCAATGAGAAAAACGGCAGCATGGCAAAGTTCGTGGATCAGCGTGTCTCGGAGCCTTTCTAACGTTTATCCATGATAGAAATCCCATCAAACATTTACCTGGTTCGGTGATAACCTTTGTGGAAAGTTCGACAGTCACCGTTCTCACAATTGACACGAAATCGTCGCCCTTTTGTCTTTTGTACCTAAAAGTTTAAAAGGTTCTCTTTACAATAGCTAACGATTACCTGCAAAAACCCGCCGTCTTTCGTAGTCGTGGATTCCAAATGATCGGCAAATCTTCGGGCAAATTGCTCTTGAAGCAGGTGTCGTTCACATGTTTGAAGACGGACTTTGCCAATTCTTCACGATTCTTCTAAAGGTTTAAACTAGCTCGAATTTTCTTAAATGGTCTTACCTTGAAATTTTTGTCTATAAACTTTTCAGCGTCCAAATGCCTCGTGTATTTATAATGTTTATTGAGTGAGATGAGAAAATGCTCGCTTCCATCAATCTAAAAAACAAAATTAGCTATTTGCAAGAGTGAGTAACCAACCGCCGGTTTTTTCACGGAAGGGCTTGAGAAGGTAGACTTTAATAGAGCAACCGCAACTTTGCCTAAATACATTAATTTTAACAGGAGTGCTTTAACGAGAAAAGCGTTAAGGAACAAAATAACGTACCGACTGGCGTCTTCTTTTCATCAATAACCCGTTTTTTCACTTCAACCACCAATTCCGCATCACTTTCTTCGTCTTCACCGTCAAAAGGTTCTTCTGACTGATCCGATTCATCATCCTCGTCCTCACTTTTGTCCAGTGGCGACCCAATCTCATCATCGTCAACTATGAAACTAAAAATATCTGCCTTATTTTTACCATTTAATTAAAATACATTCAATTAATTTCACCAAACCAACCTATTTGTTCGCCTCTTTATTGGTTTTCCATCGTTCGATTCATCTCTATCTTCCGCTGTCGACTCTGGCGTTGAAATCGGTCGACGTAAAGAGTTTAAATCTAAAAATTAATTAAAAAATTAACACGAAAATATGCTGTACATTTCATATCCGACTCAGAATCAGAGTCCTCTGAAGTCGATGCTGTTTTTGTCGAATGGATTGGCTTCTTTTCTCGGCGATCCGCGGATGAATCCTCAAAGTCGAGCTTTTGATTCCGACAACGTAAATCTAAAAAGAAAAATCCAAAGTATATGGTTTGGTAATGGAAACTTCGTTGATTTGAAGATAAGCTGGAGAGATTTGTTGCATAGATCCTATCTTTGGGAGAGTCGTCAGTTGTTGTCGTTCGCGATTTCTAAAACAAAATAATTATGCGACAGCATATTAAAAAATTGCAGAATAAAGTGTATAAACAATACCTCAGAATTTTTGCCACAAGACGTCGAGTCGTTCAAAACGATCACCGAATTGCTAAGCGAATCCTAAGAAGAAAAATAGTCATAAGTTAATGAAATCTTACCTCTGAAAGAAATCCATCAGATTTCACCTCATCAGCCGAATAAAACTCATCTAAAATTTTTGCAAATTAGTTGAAGTTCGTGACAATTCACCCTCAGAAATGTTCTCTTTGTCCTCCGGTGATCCAACCCTAAAATAAGAAACATAAACCAGAGTTTTGATAAAAGTTAGCGCTGGAGTGCAAATAGGTATATAGTTCAAGATCTGCGTATCTTTAAAACGCTTCTTTTAAGATAAACCAAGGTTATAAAAGTACTACTAGTCGATTCGGCATAGTCAAAAACCCCTGTGTGCAAGTTCTTGTGGAAAAATATTGATTTTGGGTCAAGTTCCAGACTGAGCCTCCCCCCCAACTACTCTAACCCCAGGAAACCAAACCAACCTTGGACTCGAAAAAGTGTGACTGAAAGCATCTCGACGTAGATCCCTCAAACGATCCGACTTCGATCGACGGCAGAATGGCGAGTCGAGTTCACTCGTGTCCGACATAGGATTGATTCTGAAATGAAAAAAAAACATTGATGGGACAAGTTTCAAATAAAAAGGGGATTTTGTAAAGCACACACGCTCGAGTGTTCAAGGTTTCGAAATTTCGAGTGTTATGGTTTATGAAAAACACTTACTATTAGTGTTTTTCATAAAGAGTGAACGGCCACAACTCTGGAGCACTCGGACGCTTTAACCCTCGAACGTCTGTGCATTACAACACTCCATACAAAAAATGAAAAACATAATAAATAAACCTGACGATGAAAATGACTTGAAAAGACATTTTGAAATGAAAAAAAAACATTACTTTACTAAACAACAAAAGATGGGTTACGGTAATGGGGTGTGGTTTAGAAACAACTTAGTTTACAATCAATTCGGTTTTTAAAAGCTCAATTTTTAAAAACGAATCAAGTACTTTAATTTTGCATTTACTGTACTAAATCTCAAATTTTAACTTGGCGGCTTTTGTCCAAAAGACACCAGAATACAGCTATGTACAATGAGCGACTGTGGTATTCCATCATTTTATGACGAGTGTTTTTAGATTAAGGTTTAAGAGGAAAAAGAGTCAATTGCTCTAATATTTACTCTGCGATTCTTTACTCTACCCAACAACGAATACATTGTTATAACAATTGAATCGATCTAATGGGAAATTCAATTATAAAACTTATAATAGAATTAAAGTTTTTATCACTCGATCAACTTGCTTCCATCATTGCTTATGCAACTAAATTTGCTTTTTTCTTTATCGCAAGGCGCGCCATTTTGTGGATAAGTCTCTCAAGAAGAAATACGGCTAAATTGAACTTTACAGTATAAAAGCTCAAAACAAAAAGTCGAATTTTTTGGTTTAAAAATCTTTCCACTCATTATTTTTGTGTTTTTTGTGCATAACTAGGCATAGTAAAGCATAAAAACTGGTTTACAATGTATTTAGGGTCTGGACCGTAAAGTTCAATTTAGCCAGAAATACAAAATGTTAGTTACGTGAAGAGTTTCGTGATGTCATTGAGTACGAGATAAAGTTGGACTTTGCTCTGATCAGTACGGTATTAAACTTTTCAACCGTAATACCAGATACCAGATCTGTGTTAATAGATCTTTTGGCTGCAATGGCTGCAATCCAATGTCTATCCAGCTCCTACCTGAATCAACAACCTCCACTCCACCAACAACCTCCACTCCACCAACAACCTCCACTCCACCAACAACCTCCACTCCACCAACAACCTCCACTCCACCAACAACCTCCACTCCACCAACAACCTCCACTCCACCAACAACCTCCACCGCTCTCTCCCCGAGAAACGTCTTATTGATTGTAAAGTTCAGCGTCGGATTTGAGTCAATAAACTGCCTAAAATCTTTAGAAAAATTCCGAGTTGCAAAGCAAAAAAATCCTGAATTAACCAAAAGAAACATTTTAAATTCCGTAAACTATTCCATAAACTATTCCATAAACATCAAATTGCTACTCGTTGGTGGCTCGAAAAGGGATTTGAGCTTTTCCTTGATCTATCGAAAGAATTCTTTCGCAAATGGAAAACGGAAAATTTCTTCTCATTTGTTGAATACGAGTTTAACGTTTGAAATCCATTTTTGATTGTTCCAACCTTTCGCCTGGTAACTTCAGTCATTTAACATCTCATGCTTTGCCTTGTCATTTTTCCCGATTTTGCGACACTTCTGCTGTTATTTATCGTTTTTCAAAGTGATGCACCTTCCCCTCTTATTGCTCACTTTCCAATTATGAACTTTATGTTATCACGTGTTCTTTTTGTATTGTTTTTTTTGAGGCATTAGACATATCTTAAGGCTGGTATTATTGTTTCCTCCACAAAGATGAATTACGAGTGTCTTGTGATTATGTCAAGGAATAAATCGTCTTGAATCTTTAGTCGAACTTTGGAAATGGATATAATGCAAAACATGTTATAGGGTCAGCTAATTTGCAAAATTGTTTGTCGAAAAAATCTTTCGAAATTGGCAGACTTAATGTTAGCCTAAAATTCACTTATCAACATAGTTTTCTAAAAAGATTAATTTGAAGACATCACTGTTCCTTTTGTTGCTCAAGAATATCCCGGGTTAGTTGAATTTTTTTGCCAATCTGAAGTCACTCGACTCGTTTATAGCCTTTTGGACTCTTCTCTCTTATCGACTTTTTGTCTGTGTTTATTGGAAAGGGGTTCTTTCCATTTATTTTTCCACAAATAATTGAGACGATCGAAAAAGAGTGATACCCATTGCTTTGTTGGTAGTAAAGATTTTGGCGGCTTCTCTCGATTCTCTGGAATCGATTTTATTTCATATTCTTTTATTAATGGGAATCAAGGATTTTTGGTGTGGTTTTGAGGAATGATTGGCTTAAAAGCTTAAAGGCTTAAAAGTTGACTAATTTCAGGAGGAAGCACAAAAACAAGAAGATCGCGAAGAAAGATGAGAAGTTGTTGAAGAGGTTACAGGTGAGAAAATGGTTGATTGGTTGTTTGATTGGTTCATTTCTTGATTAGGAACTCAATATTGATTCCGATGATCTTCTGCAAGCGCCGGTTGTTCTCGTTGAGAGACGAGAAAATGGTGATTTTGAGGAAAAAGTGGGTGAAGGGTTTTGTGATTTCAGATGAGCGACTTTTGACGAGATTGGATGATTTGGAGAAAAGATTGGAAGGTATTCAGAGAAGAAATGGGGAGGATTTGGAGGAGAATGGGGAATCTGATGATGGAGATTTGCCGGGTGAGTTGGGGTAAAAAAAGGAAACTTTTAGGATCAGGTTAACAAAACCATTAGAAATTGGTTAAAGGAATAAAATTTGAAACAGGTAGTTTATAGTTCCTTTATAGTTCCTTTTTGGTTCTTTTGGGGGCCCAGAAAGGGAAGGGTCTGTGGTCGACCCCGTCCGATCTGCCAAGTTGAGCAACGTCGGCGCGGGTTAGTCGTGGGTTCGACTCCCATGGGCTCCCCTCCGAGCGCCCCAGCCCGGCCATCGGAGTATCATCGGCTACGACAACTACACTTCTGCCTCAGTAAATGTGGAAGCGGGTTGTGATCTGCGCTAAGTGCGAAGACAGATCGAATCATTATAATTATTTTATTTGGTTCTTTTAAAGTTCCTTTATAGTTCCTTTTTGTTTAGGACCATCAATGAATGCTATGGAATCGCGAAAATCCACAATTCAACCCGTTCAAATCAACAACTATTATCTTGTACCTGGAAATGAGTTGACGAATCAACAAAACTCGACAAATTTGTTTCAATCAGCTGAGGAAATTGAGATTCAACGAAAAAGGGAACAAGAAAAGGAGGATGAGGAATTTGCGAGACTATTACAGGTTTTAAAGCTTAAAGAAAACCCGTATTCTTTACAAAACTACAGTTAGAGTTAGAAGAAGAGGAATTCTGGACATTTCGTCGGGAAAGAGGTTTGCATTTGGGGAAATTTATTGATTTAGTTGAGATTTGCAGAAGAGAGAGCAACATTAGCAACATTGGCGGAAGATGAAGATCAAGAGAAAATCGCGCAACGAAGACAGGTTGTTTTCCTCATAATTAAATAGTTTTCAAAAAGATCGGTAAACTTTTGAAAGCCTACCGAATCTTTTGAATCTTTCTACCAAAGTTTCCGACTTTTTGAATATTAGCAAACTGAGCATGACTTTTCAGATTGACAAAGACGCCGAATTCGCGTGGAGTCTTCATTTTCGAGAAGAGACAACAAGTGAAGCTTTAGGTAGGCAAAAGAAAGAAAAACGAGTCAGAGAAAAGACTTATAATCAAGCAATCAAAGCAATCAAGCAATTCAAATTTAGAATTCAATCCTGAAGCAATTTAGAACCAAATGATGAAGTGCCAATAATGTCTGCTACTCCGACAAGCGCCTCAATGAGTCAAAGAGAGGAGGTTCGCTCTGAAAATGTAGATTTATTCATCAATGATGAATTTATAGAAAGATTGACATAACCACAACAAATCCTTTCCCCAAACTCGATTTAGAATCTAGCAGAAGTGCCGGAGTTTGTTCGAAGAGCCAATGAGATTCAACGGAGATTAGCGGGAAATCCGACGCCGAAAGGTGGCGTTTAAAAGTGATAGACATTGCTAAAAATTTGAATTCTATAAACCTATTGATACTTGGGTTTTAAATTTAAAAGTTTATATTGCTTTAGATCGTTCAGGTGTTGGCTCGTCGACGGCATTGATAACTACTTCAACAAGGCGAAAAGGACAGGCGGAAAGACAAGGCGGAAATTCTTCTAGTGCAGGTGGTTGAGTTCAAAATTTAGAGCATTAACATACTTATAATCACCATTAGCGTCTTTTTCAGCAGGTTTAGAAAGTTCGCTACCCAAATACTTTTGGATAAGGATTTGAGAGACAGTGTATGCTCTTCTCACTTCCTCTCTTCTTCTGCCAGAAAAACGTCTGTAGCTCAGTGTGTAGAGCATGGGTCTGGCAAGCAGCAGGTCGTTGGTCTGACAAGCAGCAGGTCGTTGGTCTGACAAGCAGCAGATCGGAGTTCGTTTCCCCTCGGATCCTTTGGCAAATTCTTTTGAAAACAAAAAGAAAACAGAAAAATGAAAAAGGAGGAAGAGGCGAGGGAGTGAAAGGGAAAGAAAGAGGAAAAGTGAAAAACATTTTAGTTTACAATTGAACTATGCATGGCTTTATGTTTTATTTTTACTGTAGTTTTAAAATATTTTTACAGTGGAAGTGGAAGTGAATGAAGAGGAAGTAAAAGCGATTAATGAGCAAATCGAGAATGACGCTGCATTGGCAAGGGCTTTGGCGGTTTGTTTCGGTTATTAATTAAATGAAAAACAACTTTCTTAGGAAGCAGAGAATGAATTCTTCGAAAGACACCATTTGGGGACACGGAATCGACGTGAGTTGGGAAAATTTGATGGGTGACGCTAACATTTTAGACTCTACCGGGAACGATGAGCAACTTGAACGATTCACGGAACTTGTGGTGAGTTTTGGAAGGATAGTCATGCTTATCAATAACAGTAACCGTACTTATCCGTAGGTATAGGCTTGTACCTGGTACTGAGCCTGAGCCTGAGCCTGAGCCTGAGCCTGAGCCTGAGCCTGAGGCTGAGCCTGAGCCTGAGCCTGAGGCTGAGCCTGAGCCTGAGCCTGAGGCTGAGCCTGAGCCTGAGCCTGAGCCTGAGCCTGAGCCTGAGCCTGAGTGAGATAATAAACATGCTAAAGTTTTAAAGTGTCATGGATCTAGTAAAGGTTTACTTTAATTTCTTGTATTGAATCTAAAGAAAGTCTTTAGCCTAATGCTTCTTTCTGATTCGGAATTGAATGAAAGTGATGATGAAGGGAATAAGAATTTGGATGAAGAAATTGATGGAAAGGTGAGTCGAATCAATGCTTGTTTTCAATATGTTTCTACTGTTCTTTTAGAATTTAAGCAAGGGTTACTTTAGCTATCTAGAAAGGTTACTGTAGCTTATAGCTTATAGCTAATAGCTTATGTCCAATCTAAAAGAACAATCAGATTTAGCGATCTTCGGATGATCATTGCGTGATATGTCTTGAAGATGAGATCATGGATGCAGTCGGGTGTGCAAAGTGTCGACAATTGTTGGGATGCAGACAGTGAGATAGAAAAGAGATAAAAAAAGAGAAATGATGTATTAGCTTTCAATAGCATAGCTTTCAATCAAGCCTCACTAAAATCATTAAGCTTTGAAAGGAATTCAATAAAGCCATCAAGAATTTCTTTTCATTTTCAGCTGTGTTCTCAATTGGTACCGAGGCGGGACTGGAGACGATTTTAGCACAGCTTTGTGGTTTGTCGTGGCAGGGGATCAGAATTATAAGTGAGTTGGGGTCAAATTCGATAAGAAAATGAGAGAAAATGATGCGAAAGCTATAGGAAATATGTTTATTGATATGAAAGCTGAAAGCTTTATTGATATGAAACATTAATATGAATCCTTTTTAACAGCTAAACTCGTTTCAGAAGTTGTCCCCTTTGTCGTGTTCGATGGGGAAATCAACCGGAGCTGATCAATCTACAGCATCGCCAGAGCTGATCAATCTACAGCATCGCTTTTGAGATTGAATGTAAATTTGTAAATAGTCAGTGAATAAAGCTTTGATTTCATACAATAAAAAGTTATATAACAATATAAAATATACAAATATACAATTTTTATAAATGTCCATTTGGATGATAATTTTTGCAGTGACTTTCGTGGTGACAATAATCGTGAGGGATATGGGTTCCATGTCTGAAAATATTGAAAACCTCATTGACTTTGTTGTTTAGAGGAAATGAGAATTTCGGTGTACCGGTGTTTCACCAAAAGGGATGCGTTTACACGTACAAAAGTACAAAAAACAAGTCCCCAATCGTATCTCTTTGATGATCTCTTTGATGATCTCTTTAGCTCTTTTCCTCACCTCTTCAACTTCTTCTTCTCTTCTCTTCCCATTGGTCCATGGCTGTTCTTGATCAACCAAAAATCATCATCGACTTCCTCCTAGAAATCAAAACTTTTCTTGAGCACTTTTCTTGAGCAAGGCTTTACTTTTGCTGCAGCGACTTGTTGGAAATGGAGATGTGTGGCGTTGTGAACTTGCATCAAGCTGAAGCCATAGTTGGAGGATCTGAAAGGAATTTGAGCTTATTACTGCTAATACTGCTAGATAATGAGTTAGATTTCTATTGACATGCAGTTGCGAAACTGGGGCGAAATCGGCGCGGCCCGCTTTCTAAAGCGTGGATGCGCTACCGTAACCCGCACAAAAATTCTCTTTTGCCATTCTTATCATTTTCCTTCATTCCATGGAGTCGTGGACTTTGTCCAGCTTTTATGCCGAGTCTAGCTGTTTTTTTTGCCCACTTCGTAAAATTTATTATGTTTTTGTAGCGCGTTTTTAAAGTACTCTCTCCCCTCGTTCGTTCTCTGCTTTTCATATTCTTTGCCTTTGTTTTTTGAAATCTTAATACGGCTTTATGTCGTTTTTTTCGGCTCCTTTCACTTCATTGTTTTGAACCGTTCATTTTTGAACGTTTTGAACCGTTCACAAATGCCGTATAAACTCAACTTCACGAATTCCCTTTAACGAAAACGCAAATCTAAATAATCTGCCACTGCGCGATTTTGGTACTTTGTCTTGGGTTTCATGTCAAATCATTTTAGAAAAGCTGTTAGGTAAGGGAGTTAGTAATTAATATATAGTACACTGATTATAGTTAATTGATAGTTTTGCTCACCGAAGTGCGCTCCATGGTGGTGGATGTCTGACGAAAGGATCCGTGTTCTCTCGGCAGCCCTAAAATTTTGAAGTTTTGAATTTCGTTTCTCATTTCGGAAAGAAGCGGGTTGGGGGTTCAGTTTTCATCTATTCCTCTATTCCTCTCTTTCTTTTCCATTTTCTATTTTGGCTTTCTATTTCTTGCTCACAAAGTCCTTTTAGAACCCGTGTGGGCCAAGAAAGAGCCCTACTGGGCCCTTTCCTCTCTATTCCTCACCCATCTCTCATTCTTTTCCAAGTTTCATAGTTCCATTCTAAACCAAGCTTGAACTTTTTGCATAAACAAGACATAAACTTTTTTTTAATGATTTTTATTCGTGCAATTAGTTTATTTTTAGAGAACGGCAATGTTCTACGAACCGGGCACAAGCTCCCCGCCTCCTCCGGAATACGATCCAAAGAATGAGAAACGAAAATTTAATGGTAAATTTGACTTTTATATCTAGATATCTATAAAATATAGCTAGGTATAATACAAATAAATATCTTTTATCTAATAGGTTGATGCATAAGTGTTTTTGTTCCTTTTCGTCTGCCGTTTCAAGCCAACAAATGCACCAATTAAACTACGGTTGATTTCATTAGAAAAACCAATTATTTTTCTGCAAAATAACATTAAAACGGGTTTAAAAATATTTAATGCCTGGATTTTCTTGAGAGTATGAAGTCGGGTAGTCAAAAAGGGCTAACTCGATGATGCGGTTTAGACACCTTAGCTAAAGAAAACCTATCTTCGTGTCAATAGATAAAAGATAGAGAAAAAAAACGTTTGATATTTCGCGAAAATTTCAGAGAAATTCATTCAGCCAATTTTTCCGTAGAGTTTTTTATAGATTTTTACGAAAAAGGCGTTTTTCACTCTCGAATTTGCTTGAAAGTGAACCGAAATTCATTTAAAAAGATGCAAATTGAACAAAAAAACACTTTTTTTATAGGGCAAACTATAGATTAATTGGTGAATTTGTTACTTTTTAACAGAAGTACGAAAAAAACTAAAAGACTTATGCATCAGCCTAATAGATAGTTTATCTTTTAGTTTTATATCTAGATAGTTTATCATCTTATTTTATATCTAGATAATTTTGTTTTAAGGATTTTCCCGATCCGAGACGGTCGAGCCGTTTATTGAGGGCACAGAGACGGCGCCGAAAGATCGGTAGAAAGTTTATGGATGAAATTATCAATTAAATTTAAATTTAAATTTAAAAATTAGATTGATTCAAAAAATCTGATACTACTCAATAATCAATATTTCTAATATTTTCAATATTCTAATCATTTTTTTTAGGAATGGCCTCGTTTGGTGGATTTTCCTTCTGCACGGGATCGGGGTGTTGATGCCGTGGAATATGTACATCACGATAGCACATAATGTAATATTTGTATGCTAATTTCAAAAATATATTAAATTATACATATTTTAAAGCCGACATCTATAAGTTTATCTATAAATTTTCAGTACTTTGAGGGATTCAAGCTATGGGAGTGGCGGAACGCAACTTTACCCCTGAAAAGTGACAATGGTGAGTCTTTGATGCGGGAAATTTCTGGTAATTTTATGTAAAATATCTCTAGGATCAGGACTGACCTCGATTCTGGTCTGAGCCAAGCCTTATAGCCTGACCTTGGACTGAGCTGGCCCTGGATTGGTTCGACCTTGGCCCTAACCTAATCCCGCCCTAGTCTGAACATTACTAGATCTAGATCTACCCTAGATATATATTTCTTAAATTTTTAATTCCAGCTTCCTCTTTTTCTCTGCACCCAACCGAGGAGAGCCGTGTGTTTCTCCACTGGATGACCATTTGCTCACAAACACCGAATTTGGTGCTCAACTGCTTGAATATCTTCATACCGATTAGGTGGTTTTTGATTTTCGATTTCCTTTGTCTTTTTCCTTCCTTCTTCCCTCTTTCTCCCCTCTTTCTCGTTGGAAATAAAAGCGCCTGTAGCTCAGATGGTAGAGCGTCTGCCTGAAAGCAGAAATGTCGAGGATTCAATTCCCTTCGGCTCCTTCTTTCTTTGCCAAATTTCGTTTTAAAAACGAAAAAGGAGAGAAGAGAAGAAGAGGAAGAAAGTGATCTCCTTCATGGGGTAGAATTTTGGTTCCCAGTCGAACAATTCATTGGTTTTCATTCAGTCTGATTCAAGCCAAAATCAAACACTCTCAACTCTCCTCTCCACAATCTCAATTCTTTAGAGGCGATCTCACCCGGCGGATCACCATCTCTATATCCATCGTCGGATTGGTGGTGCTGTTGACGGATCTCTTGGTTTTTGTCGACACTTCTACATGTAGTACTTTGAATCAAATCTTTTTAGTATTTCATTTTTTCTAAGTACAATTCCCTTTTTCAGGGGTGACCTCATTTTTCTATTTAACTTTGATTCTAATCGCTCTCCTTAATGGCGCAAACGGGATCTACCAGAGCTCGATCTACGGTTTGAGCAAGTGGAAATCTTTCTAGGAATGGATTTCAGGAGTTGTATCCGATTTCCCATTCAAATACACAAATGCGGTGATCATCGGGAATAACTTTTGCGGGACTTTCGTCACGATTCTCAACATTTTGGCAGTATTGGGTAGGTGGTTCAAATCGAATCCGATTCAAATCTCCATATTCAGTTTCGTCAAATCCTCAATATCAAGCTTTCGTCTTTTTCACGATCTCTCTTTTCACGATTGGGCTTTGCTATGTGTCGTTTTTTGGGCTCAAATACCAGGTTGAGTTTTTTTTTCTATAATTTAAATCCAATCCTTTTTTCAGGAATTCTACAGATATTACTCGGGCCAAGGAATCGAGAATCGACAGCAAAATTGCCAAGGAATCATTTCTCTGACGGAATATAAAAGAACGATAAAGTGCGAATGAGAACTCAAAAAACCTTTCACCAAGCAAAACCGAACTGTTTTGGGTCAAAAATTGTCTGGGATTGCTAGAAGTCGAGCTAGAACTGTAGAATTGGCTGACCTGGGTCTGATCTTGGTCTAGTCCTAGTTGGCTCTGACCAAGGCATGATCTGACACTGACTTGGCCAGGGTTTGACTTGTCTGGCTCTTGCCTGACCTAGCGGTGATCTGACTCAAATCTGATCTAGCCTAACTCTGGTCTCGCCTGCCCTGGTTCGACCTAACCCTGGCCTCTAACCCTGGACCCTGAAACATTTTGAATTCTTATTCCACAAACAGTTCTTTGAGTCAAGTTCTTATGTAACTTACTAACCCTAATACTACTAAACAAAACTACAATTTCCGCTCTCATTTTAGAGAAGGCTGGATCCAGTTCGTCAACGTTTTCCTCATCTTTTTCGTCACTTTATCTCTTTTCCCGGCGGTGATGATGAACGTGAAGCCAAATGCACCAAAAGCGAATGGGGAATTCGATTACGATTTCATTTTCCCAAGTTAATAGCTTAATCTATATGTAATCTAATCTATTTTAGAAGATCAATACGTGAATATCTCTTGCTTTCTTTTGTTCAACGTTTTCGCGTTTATCGGATCGATGTTGGCGAGTGCGACAAAGCCACTGCTTTCGCCGAAAGTGCTGTGAGTTTTGTTTTTGTTTGTCAATGTTCCGAAGCTATTTAATTTGACACTAAAACTACTGTAATTGACAGTAATCAGTAAGCTATTCAGTTGACCGTTTTAGCACTATCTGCTGCTGGATCCGTTTGCTGTTGATCCCGGCGATTGTCATGTGTAACTATCAGCCACTTGGGAAAGGTGGAGCTCGAAGGAAATTGGCGATTTGGTAAATTGATGACTTTGATTGATGAATTCGCTCAACTTTTAGGATTCTCAATCCTTGGGCTTACATGTCTCTCGCGATGATCATGTCTCTGTCATCGGGGTATTTCTCGTCGCTGGCAATGATGTACGCCCCAAGGGTGAGCTCTTCGACTAGCAATTTCCTAACTACCCGCCTAAATAGTCTTCTAATTGGCATTTTGTGCTCAACCTGAAGTTTGGAATTGTTTCTATGGGATCCACTCTGTTGTGGAAAAGGTTCCGAAGCTCAGAGTTGGAGTAAGTGACCAGTGTGGAGCTTGGCTCAGGCAATTCAAGGGTCTAAACAACTCACGAGTCGGTCTCTTATCCGAACAATTTCAAAATACTGGCAGCTTCTTTGAAACATACCAACGGGTACAGTAACCGTATAAAATCTATCTCAGTTTTGAGCCGTTTCCTGGATTTATGGGTAAATATAATAGTTTGATATCAGTGAAGATATATTTTTGATATCCAACTAATCTACGAGCCTTTAGGTTGTTGACTCAAGTCGTGCCCGTTTAGCCGGCATGATCTCGGCTTTCATCTTGATTTGTGGTGAGTTTGAAAAAAAATAAGGGGCAAATCTTATCCTCTAAATTCAGGAGTTGTTGCCGGTCTCTGGTTCTCGGTGATTTTAGCGCAAATCGTTTTATGGTGATTGTTGATTTTAATCTTTTCCTTCTCTATCTACCTATTTGTTCACTGCCTCATTGATATCTCATAGTCAAATGTTATTTGTTTTTGGTGACAATAAATTCTTCTAACACTCACAGCCGATCCAGTGACCACATGAACGGGAGCTGGTGGGTCGACGTAGGGAGAATCGGTGCCATTGTAAACCTAGAATGAACACGCTTTATGAGTTTCCTAAGTGTAAGTCTTGTTCCAATATGGCCATACTGCAGCTGCCATGGCTTCTGTCTTTGCACTGGCCTTAGTTGGCTTACAATTAGAACTCTGTTTTTTACAAAATTTCAGAACTAGCCTAAAGCTGTTGGGATCTTAATGCTAGGGTCCAAAAACGATACAAACCGTTCGATTGTAGACAGGGAACATTCGTTCATATGAATGCTCGTGCGCCCACAATTCGATATCGACTCCATGTTTGTAGAAGAGTTTCTCAAGGCCATATGCATGCGTTTCGGGGAGGCCATTACGAATCTGGAGTTACGAAAGGCATTACGAAAGGCTTACGAAAAGATTTCTTAAACGAACAATGCTCTCATATTTTGTACAATCGTCTCCATCGAAATCTGAGCAATACATCGGTCGATGTCCCATTGTGATTATCCAAGGAACGTTGTGGCGATTGTCGTTGGCTTTCTGTAGAAAATTAAGGATTTAGTACACCAGGAAGGGTGTGTTTGCAATTTCGAGCAGTCTTATTTACCTCCAAATCCTCACTCAACCATCGCCATTGATTCCCGATCTGTTCCCAGCCCCAACTCGTGAAAAAGTAGAACTCAGTCGAGATCACGATATAGTGCACAAGGCCCAAGTCGAAGCTAAAGTGGCTCTTGTTTTTGATCTTGACAGATTCTGTGCTCTTCTTTACCTGTACATCAAGCCATTCTCTGTGCCAGGCATCGTGAAACGATTAACATATTGCGTGAAATTTCGATTATTCTCGTGATTCCCAACCGCTGTCATGTAGGGAATGTAGGCGGCTGCCGGCTCGATTTGTCGCATGAATTCGTCGCCCATCTGGGAAATTGTAAAGGTGATGCGACGGTTGCATATATGCATAAAAGCCAAGTATTTAAGTGAATTTATTGCCTAAAAAGCTCTCTTAAACACTCACTTCACTGTTATTCTCGTTCATATCGTATGCCATGTCACCAACATGTAACACCATATCAACATCTCCTTTCTGTACCATTTCCTGGATTTTCCCTAATGAGCGCGCATTCTGACTGCCCATGTCACCGAAAACGGCCATTTTGAAGCCACCCTCTGAAATTTGAAGATAAAAAGTCTCATCTGAATGTTTGCTATTTGAGGAATTGACTACTTTCTGACTACTTTCTATCCTCGTGCTACTTGCTATAGTAAGACACTTTCTGGTACAGCTATACTTTCTGGTACAGTGTAGTAAGCTAAAGTTAGCTTAACATTTCGCCTGCAGCTAGTTAGTAAATCCCAAAGAAATACCCGATCTTTCCTTCAATCCCGTGAACTCGTAAATGGCACTCCAACCAAATTGAGATCCAACATGATACCCTGAAAGTTCTTTTTCTAAAGGACACTATTTATTGGGTACGGTATGTTTTTCCAGGCTCAATTCCGGTGAGCACAGCCCGGAAGATGTATCGATCAACTGAGCCTGATTGACCGTCTTGGAAGAGGTAGACGTGGGCCTAAAGGTATTGAACTTTGAACTAAAGGTATTGAACTACCTAAAGGTATTGGAATTTATACTGTATCAACTGCTAATGTCTAGAAATCTTTATCAAAACCCTACCGTCGATTTCCGATCCATTGCCCTGCCTTCTCCCCATTCGACAAAACCATTCCCGGTGTCGTCAAAGGCCAACCAAGTAACGAACATCGTTGATGGACTGCCTAAAGGATGCCTAAGTTGTACGTTGTGCGCAAAATAGAAACACATCCTTTCTGACGCAAAAAAAGCTCAAAGCAATGCGACAGTGATGTGTTTCTGGGTTGAGGAGAACGAAGAGTCCTTTCGGTTGTCCTTTCGAAAAGGAACTCTACCATTCTACCAACATTGGCTTTGTTTTTTTGACTTAAAACCCACCGCCATAACTTAAATGTATTTGTTCGGGTTGTGCTTTCATTGGGCCTTGATTCGGATTCTTTGCAATATCCCATTTCAATTTTCGGTTGGGTTTTAAGCGATGTAGACGAGCGTTTAAAGTGGTGATGAAAAGCAGAGAAAACAGCAGCAATCTCATTTGAAGTTTTGGCTGAAAAGAGAGTCAAAAAACATTCAGTGAAACTGTTTGTTTGATGTTGGTGAATCAAGAATTGTTTGAGGAAACAAATGGAAAATGAAAGAATGGAGAAATTGCTTGAAAAACGATAATTCAATTGAAATTTTCAAAAGGAAAATGAGGCAAAAAGATCAAAAAGATCAAAAATAGAAAAATGGAAATCATTTGAAGAGTTGAAGCTTTCTTCAAAGAAATCTGCAAAGCTTTTCCCCACCGAAAGGTGGGGAAAATTCAAAACAAAAAGAGGATTGATAAGGCAATGGACGGGGAATTCATGGCCGAATGGCTAAGGGTCAGCTGATATTTTTTGGAAACAAAAACTGATCAATGTATAAAGAATTTTTTAGAATTTGAGTTTTAAGGTTGAGAAAGACGAGGAGCCAAATGCGGATGTGGTTTGTAATAAAAAAAATGCACTATGGAATGTGAATAGGGGTACTTTTTGACTTTCAAGCACAAAGTACATTCAAATGATCAGCTTTGATCAGCTTTGATCAGCTGAAGATCAGCTGAAGATCAGCTGAAGATCAGCTGAAGATCAGCTGAAGATCAGCTGAAGATCAGCTTTGATCAGCTGGAGATCAGCTGGAGATCAGCTTTGATCAGCTGGAGATCAGCTGGAGATCAGCTTTGATCAGCTGGAGATCAGCTGGAGATCAGCTTTAATCAGCTTTGATCAACTTTGATCAGCTTTAATCAGCTTTAATCAGCTTTGATCAACTGGAGATCAGCTTTGATCAGCTTTAATCAACTGGAGATCAGCTGGAGCTGTCATACAGACGAAAGACTTCTCTCAATGTTGTGATGAGTATTGTGAACGTCAGATAACGTCTGGCTTGAAACAAATGTGAAGTTGAAAGATCTCCAATTAAAACACTCGCTACTTAACACCCTCTGAAACGAGGGAGATCAAGTGTGTTGTAGTGTAATGGTTAGCACAGCTGCCCAGGAAGCGAAGATCATGGGTTCAAGTCCCGGTGGGGCAGAATTTTTTGATCTTCCAACTCATTTATCAAACTTTTAAATGAGAGAATGAATGGCTTTACAGTTTACGCTTTAACTGAATAGCTTAATAAATGAAATGCTTAACGAAATCTTTGTCTACAGTGGTTTGAGATTTGTTTTGGATTCTATTGTAAGATTGGCAACTTGAAAGTTAGTCGACCTTTTCTTATTTTCCTTAAAATATATTTAAAACATCAATTGAATTAAAGTTCTCTAAATAAAAGTTATATATTATCGAGTTAAAGATATGCTTAAAGATTGGATAGCTTTTGGATAGCTTTTGAATAGCTTTTGGATAACTTTTGGATAACTTTTGAAAACTTTGAATAGACTTTGGATAACTTTTGAATAGCTTTGAATAGAAATTGAGGTTTTTCTGAGAAATCTTTCAATGTAACTATCACAAAAACGATTTGTTTATATTTTAGCTGAAAGTTTTGCGATTTATTTAACTTTTTAGCTTCTTTTTCTTATTGACACTAAAAATGTTTCTGTAGAAGAAAGTGCTGAAATCGCTTTTCATCGAGTTTTTCGCTTTTCCTTTTCCTTTTTCATCGAGTGTTCATCACTTTTGTTTTCTCAACTTTTTACCCCTTAGAAACTCACAAAAACTCAAAACTTTTCTCTTTAAAGCTCTTTAAAATCTCTTTAAAGCCTTTTTTAGAGTATAAATAGCTCTTTTTATTGGTAAAAACTGTAGATTAATTGATGGAATAGTTATTTCTAAAAAGTGCAATGAATGAAGTGTCCCACCTTTCAGTCTTTCACTCAGTCTTTCACCTTTCAAATTGTCAACCTAGTAGCTATTGCATTTGCATTCACTTGATCACATTTCTCACACTCAATTCGTTTTATTTTCGTTTTATCAACTTGTCCTTTCTTTCGACTATCGTATTTTTGTCTTTCTTTTATTTCATCTTTATTTTATCCCATACTTTTCGTTTGTTTCTGTGAAAGCTCAAAAAAATATTGAAATATACAAAAAAGTCGATAGATTGGAAGAAAGTAGACAAGATTACGGTACTTTTCTACGTACGTACGTAATCTTTTTTATGTACTTTTCTGGAGAAGAAGCAAAAGGAAAAATGAAGAAGAAAGGGAAAAAGCTCATTTTTTTTGTCGCTTGTCATTTCCCCTTCATTCATTTCCCCGTCAATTCTTCCTTTTTTGACAGCTTTTAACATACTTGTTGCCGAAACGTCCATTTTTGAAGGCTGGCAAAGATAAGGGAATTTGAAAAATTGGAAATTGAAAACCCTCGATTATTCATTCATTGACCACTTTCGAAAATTTAATTCTAGAATTCTAGAAGTTCTTTTTTTTTTTTAAAGCTTACTATTCTTGAATATGTTTCCAGAAAACTTGGGGACAAATGAGGCGATGTGAGGAGGAGAAGAGCAACAAGAACAAGGAGAACAACAACGAGAGAAGCCATCGGGTCAGCTGAGATTATTTCGTGGAATTTATCCAAGCTTATCCAAGCATCCAAAGTTATCCGAGCTTTTTTTAAACTCAAAACTTTACAGACTGAAATCTGAATTTGTTTTGAATTGAATTTGAATTGAATTTGAATTGAATTTGACTAATTTTGATATACTTTTAAGTGTTTTTAAAGAAAAATCTGGAAAAAACAGGAAATCTAGCCTCTGCCAAAGCTTTGCGAGAAGAGAATCCATCTCGAAGGACCAAGAAGAGATTCGGAAAAGTTTTCATTTCAAGAAGTGAATAATGAAGTGGTGGAAATGATCGAAGTTGGAGAACATGGGGGAAAAGGGGAAGGAAAGCGAATGGAAGAAGGGGGAAATGGAGAAGGAGGAGAAGGAGAAGCAACTCCAATGGAAGAAGGGGAGACGAGTCAACGGCAATCAAGTTTGTTCTTCAATTCAATCAAGTTCGCCTTTAAGCTAAGCGAAAGTTAAGCTAAATTTTTGGAACTCAGTCAAGAACCGGATTCTAATCAGAAATCTACAAATTACAAATTGAATTCCAAACTGAAAGTCTTGATTGAAAAGAATTCAAACAACTTCTCTTGTTTACAACAACAAATAACAACAACAACAAACAACTTCAACTTCTTCAAACAAAATCCCACAACTTTCAGGGATTTTTGATGAAACTCGCATCTCTGCATCTCCATCGTTTTGGAGAGGATCTATTGGGTATTCCCATTCGATTGATCGAGGTAATTCTGGCTTTTAATACATATATTCACCATTTAATATAGTACAAACAATATACAAGCAATCCCTGATTCTAGGGAAGAAAAAAAAACCTAGAGTCTAGCTAGCAGGATTGAACCTTTGACCTCTCGACTAAGATACAGGAATCTTAGCCAATCGACTATGCGGCCTTAACCAGTCTTTTGGCTTAAGTCTTCAGACTAAAGTCCAGAAGAAATTTTAGAGAAAATGAAGATGCAAATGGTTCAAAATCGTAAAATTGCTGAGCGAATGTCTCCGTGGAAGAGAATATTGGTAAGGAAAGGGAAATGGCAGAGCTTTCAGGAAAGCTTCAAAGGTTTTAGGAAATTCAGAAAAAGTTGAAACGTCAACCGGCAAGACGCAAGTTTTCCCTTGTACATGGACTGCTGACAGCGCCACCGAGAAGGAATTCCAGTGGGTGGCTTCTTTGAATTGGAAAGAAGTTTGAAGATTTGCTTGAGAATAAGATAAGCTACTTGTTCAACAGCAAAACAATTTCAGGTCATCATCAATTCGGGAGATATCTTGATGAAAGTGAGGCGACAATGACGAGTCCAGTGAGAGCTTTAGGTAAGAACTGGATAAGAACTGCATTCATCTGCACTTTGTGCTCGAGAAATGGAAACACACCTTTTCTAGTGCATTGAATCCTTTAATTTCTCATAGCATCACTTTCCTATTGCAAGAAAATCGAGATTTGAAGTTGAATAAGGGGTACAGTAGCTGTTGAGTTGTAGCTGTTGAGTTGTAGCTGTTGAGTTGTAGCTGTTGAGTTGTAGCTGTTGAGTTGTAGCTATTCGGTTGTACAGTACAGTACAGTACAGTACAAAACAGTACAAATCAATCTCTACCCTACTCTTATCCAACTTTTATCTAATACTAGTTGAATTTTTGACTTAAAATTAAAATCTTGATATTAAAGTGCCATTTTCAGATGATCACTTTTCTGTCTACGAAGTTGAGAACTCGCAGCCGGCCTCACTCCAATCGTTGCAAAGAAAAACTCTTTAGAAAGGAAATGGGATAAATATTTTTGAATGGAAAGAGAAATTTTGAAATTTTATAACTCAAAAGTTTGTTTTTTCTCAGTTTTACAAGTCAAAAGTCCCTTTCATCCAGTTAAGAATTCGATTTTTCACACGAAATTACTTCGAAATTACTTAAAGCTCACGACACGATTTTGAGGGTTTTTTGTTAAATCTAAGGGTTTGAAGTGTTTTTATTCTGAAATGGAGATTTGAAAGAGATCTAGAATCAAAGAGATCTAGAATCAAAGAGATCTAGAATCAAAATCACTTGAAAAGTACGAAAAAACTAATCAAAAATAGTCAAAAACCAACAAAAACATATGGGAAAGGGGAAAAGAAAGAAAAAGAAAGAAAAAGAAAGAAAAAGAAAGGAAATGAATGGAAATGAATGGAAATGGAATGAACTCTTTGATCGCATCAAGCACAGTTCAATAATCTTGCATTGTAAGTCTTTCTGAGTTCATTTTACAACTTTTTAATTGAAGCATCTGCGCTTAGAGGTCACCTTTTTAAGCTTTCTGCTCATTTTGGTGCTTTTTACGCTGCGCGCACCTTAGCAAGCTGAGCATTCTTGCTGCGGGATTCGGTGCCATCGCCAAGGACCAGACGTGGACCTCGGATCCCAAGAGTCTTCGGACTACAGGGTGGCGGAGTGCGAAGTCCAGCCACCTCCTCGTGGTGCACTCTGGGCACTTCCTGGGAATAGGAAGTGGCGAAGAGCTGGACAGAAGGGAAGAACTTTTGGAAAAGTTTGAGAACTTTGAAAGCATTGAAGTCTTTCAAAGGCCTAGACTTTTGAACTTTCAAAGACATCACTGATCCAATGATTTCATTTTCACTTTTTCCAATAGCAGTTCTAACCGTGCATTTCTTACTTCTGTTTTTGTTCTCTTACCTTTTTTCCATTCGATCTTGTTTGAATTTGTTATCTATTAGTCCAGGTCGTCTTTTCGTTCCTTTTCGTACTTCCGTTTAGCCAAAGCCAACGTTAACAAATGCACCAATTGAACTACGGCTTTTTTCATTAGAAAGGTCAATTGTTTTTCTGCAAAATAACATTAAAACGAATTTAAAATGTCTATGTTTGCATTTTTTTGAGAGCACGAAGTCGGGTAGTTAAAAATGCGGCTCAATGATGCGGTTTAGACACTTTAGCTAAGGAAATCTATCTTGGTGTCAATAGATAAATGATAGAGCATAAAAAGTTTGGTATATAGCCAAATTTTCCGTGAAATTCATTCAGCCAATTTCTTCGTAGAGGTTTTTAAAGATTTTCACGAAAAACACGTGTTTTCGCGATCGAATTTGCTTGTAAGTGAAAGAACAAGAACTCACGTTTTGTAAAAACTCACGGTCATTAACTCACGGTTTGTAAAAAAAGAACTTAAAAAGAACTTTCGAAAGACTTAAAAAGATGGAAATTGAACAAAAAAAACACTTTTTATTTAGAGCAAACCGTGAGTTAATTGGTGGATTTGTTAGTTTTGAACGGAATTACGAAAAGGAACAAAAAGAATTACTGAACGGTCAAAAAGAATTACTGAACTGAATTACTGAAGTATTAACTTTCACCTTTTTTTTAAATCTGTCTTCGCACTTAGGTGTTCCTCTTTGCGCAGATCACAACCTGCTTCCACATTTCTCTATCCCTTGCTATTGTCATCCAGTGCTTCCTATCTTGGTTATTCCTGATTCGAAGTCTTCCAGTTGCTTGTGCTGGTGGTGATTGCACTCTAGCCATCCCTTCTCTGACCGTCTCTGTCACTCTTGTGCTCCACCTCGTCGCTGGTCTTCCGATGGGCCTCTTCTGGTCTCGTGGTAGCCACTCTGTGATCCGTGTCGTCCATCTGTCGTCTGTTCTTCTGGCTACGTGACCGGCCCATCTGAGTCTTTTTCTCTCGATCACTTCCCCTGGATCTCTGAGTCCCGAGAGCTGGCGCATATCCGTACTTCTTAGGTCTTGGTGATCTTCTTAGGCGTCTTCCTATTGTGACTTTCACCTTTTTAGACTTGATCTCCATAAAAAGACGTCGCCATGCGAATTTTGCGTTTTTTCTGGAAAACTGCTCAACTCGATTGAAATATTCAAAAAATCTGTGGAAACCATTCTGTGGCTAATGTTCTTTTGTTCTTTCTGCTGTTTGTTCTTTTGTTCTTTCTGCCATTGCTGCCGTGAACCGTATTGCTGTGAGGTAGGTGAAATCAATGCAAATAGTAAAGCTTTACACTTTGTAAGATGAAAAATTCCTGCAAGCGGGCCTAAACCTGTCTTTTCTTTTTCTTTCTTTTTTTGATTCACTTTCTATTCTTTCAAATTTTGTCCGTATTGCTGTGAGGTAGGTGAAATCAATGCAGTGGTGAAATCATCAATCAATACAATTCCCTTTTCTCTTCAATTTTCTTGATTCCCCCTCCTTTTACAAAGAGCAATTCTTTTCTTGAAATCAGCTAAAAAGAGAGCCAGAGACCACATTTTCGGTTAAACAGGTGCTTTGATCTTTCTCGTTTTGTTAAAGATAAACATGAGAATATAATATAGTAGAAAATGGGATAAGATAAATTTTTGATTACTGTAGTTAATTAAAAGATGAGGTTCTGTTCAAGCTGATGGTCATAAGAGGAAGCTTTTGATATGGGAAAAAGAGCCGGCGGGATTGAACACTTGTTCTCCCGACTAAGATACACGGCTCTTAGCCAGTCTTAGCCAGCCTTAGCTCTTAGCCAGCCAGTCGACTGTTCCTTAAAAGAACATAATATAATAGGTTGATGCATAAGTCTTTTCGTTTTTTTCGTACTTCTGTTAAAAAGTAACAAATTCACGAATTAATCTATAGTTTGCTCTATAAAAAAAGTATTTTTTTGTTCAATTTGCATCTTTTTAAATGAATTTCGGTTCACTTTCAAGCAAATTCGAGAGTGGAAAACGCCTTTTTCGTAAAAATCTATAAAAAACTCTACGGAAAAATTGGCTGAATGAATTTCTCTGAAATTTTGGCGAAATATCAAACGTTTTTTTTCTCTATCTTTTATCTATTGACACGAAGATAGGTTTTCTTTAGCTAAGGTGTCTAAACCGCATCATCGAGTTAGCCCTTTTTGACTACCCGACTTGATACTCTCAAGAAAATCCAGGCATTAAATATTTTTAAACCCGTTTTAATGTTATTTTGCAGAAAAATAATTGGTTTTTCTAATGAAATCAACCGTAGTTTAATTCGTGCATTTGTTGGCTTGAAACGGCAGACGAAAGGGAACAAAAACACTTATGCATCAACCTAATAGTAGAAAATAGGATAAGGGATATTTGATTACTGTAGTTGATTAAAAGATGAGGACACATCTGTTCAAGAGGTGTGAAGATTGGTCACAACATGAAACTTTTGAGATAAAATGCAATAAGCAGCATAAGTACCCGCTAATAAAGGTCCGGTCAAGAATGTCTGGACAGAGAACTACAATTTAGCCATTATATAAAGATTTTACAGTAATCTGTTCATAAGTTCATGCTCAGAGTCTTAGCGGGGTACTGTAAGCCACTGTATTCATGTAGCACAAGGGGTAATCATGTACCCAAGTTTCGAAAACAATTCCCTTATCTCTTCTTCTTTGTTTTGCGTCCATTTCCTTCATAAAGCTTCAAATTTATTCATTTTCATTGACAAGCTCTTTTTCCAAAAAAAGATCAATCGATTTCATCAATCGAAACATCAATAATCATCAATAGAATGCCCCAATAACTTTATACATAATATGTTATGTAAAAATGAAATAAAAAAAAAGAGATCCACAAGAAAAATATGGCGATCACAGATATTTTTGCGGGGAAACTCAAAAAAAAAAGAAAAGATCTTGAAGGAAATTGACAAAATGACAAAATGACAAAAAAAGGGGTGACATCGCACAAGTACAGGTAGATAAAATGGGGTGAATAGAGAGGAAAATGACCGTAGTTTGTGATAAAGTTTGTATAGAATTCTTTTTTTTTTTTGAAAAGAAAACGATTATTTGGCCAGTGTTAAAGTATCAACTCAATTCGAAATCAAATACAGGAAAAGTTCTTAAAATTCTTAATGAAGTTCATCAGTGTTACTGCCCGAATTATTGTGAATGAGTGGTTGATGGAGTTCCGATGAATTGTTATCATAATGAGCGAATCGTTCCATTCGAGCCAACGGAGCCATGCTATTGCTACGACCATTTACTGCAAACAGTTATTATTTTTGAGTCAATCATTGGCCCAAACCATAGAAGTTATTGAATTTACCAACTCTAGCCAATCTAAGGCTTAGTTTTAACAATATATATGGGAAAAAGAGGCGGCGGGATTGAACCTCCCGACTAGGAAACCGGGCTCTTAGATTTAAGGTTCTAACTCAACGCTTTAAGGTTCTAACTCAACTCTAATCTAAGGAACCAACTCTGTAGAGAAGAGGAACCGAATCTGTACAGAAAAGGAACCAGATATCTATCGCCAAAGAACCAAATCTGTAGAGAAAAGGAATCTTAGATGGCGACAATCAACTGTTCCTTAAAATGTTAGCTATCCAAGCCTAACCGATTTGTGTTTTTCTTTAAATTTAATTTTTCAACACTTACATTGTCTCAATTGATCGGGATTCGGAGCACTTTTGACACCGAGGCTCGGCTTCGAATGTGAGCGTTTCTTCTCGAGATCGCTCGAGCCATTGTTGTTTGACTAAATATTTTAAAGTTTATTCTATGTAAATGAATGTTCTAAGTTAACATAGACTTATTTAATCGAAAACGAACAAGTAAATCTGAGAAAAAATCAAATTCAATGAGCCTTTTCAATTCAGTTTACTTCAAAACCATTTTATGTATGACACTTTTGATAAAATGAATCTATTTTTGGTCTTACTAGACCGGATTCGGATTTCAAACATATTCAAATTCTGTTAATGAACTCACATCACTCAAAAGAGATGAATGTTTTGTTAGACTTGGCACGGAATTTCTTCTGAACGATGGTCGATCGAGGAATGTCGTTGAGAAGTTCTCTAAAGCTGTCACAATTAGTTTCTATTGTAAAGCAGAAAAACAACAAAGATTTAAATTCATTAAATCTTCTTGAAAGCTATTCATCTAAATCTTTGCCGTTTCACGTATCCTTGAAGCCCAAACATGCAAAAAAGCGACATAAAAAGCGGATAAAGCAAAGCCAAGTCGAAGCTATTGTTTAGCTTTTGTTAGTTTTATAAAGTTTAAATGCAAATAAAAGCTAGCTTGAAGTTATAGCAAGGGAAAGATATTCAATCAATTGAAAGAAATTTCATTATTATGTAACTTACAAGCAAACATCAAACGCAGGTATAAAAAAAATTGAAAGGTGATTAGATTAGCAAAAAAAGCTATAGCTATAGCAAAAAAAAGAAAAGTAAATGTGTTAGCTTTGGTGAAATCTTTTGGGTGGTTATTACCTTTCCAAAAACGAGCGCCCAAAGTCGTGCAATGCACCGCTGCAAAGAGAGATTCGATAGTGAGAAGAAAAAGAAAAGAAAAAGAAGATAAAGAAAAAGAAGAAAAGAAGATTAAGATAAAGATTCGAAGATTTAAAGAAAGAGAAGATGTTGAATGAAAAGGGATTTGGATTAGAATTAGAGTGAAAATTAAGTGTTGAAGATTGACATTTAAACAAGGGACAAGGGACATTGACATTTAAACAGGGGACAAACCGGGATTGATTGAGGTGAGACTTCGATCTCTGGATTTTGAGCAAAGTTCCCTTCAACACCGATCCCGGTTACGCATTGGTTAGTCGTTTTTTTGGACAAACAGAAAGTGATTGATGGACAATGTTCCCGGTTAACACAAAAATCCCATTCCCAAGGAAAAGTTAGCCACGGAAGAAGCCTTAGTAACTTTACGTCACTCAGCTGATGGAACAGATTCGAGAGAATTGTTAGTCTGTCTAATTATTTTCTATGCGACAGATAAGGGGTGGCCCTGATCGTGCTGGAAAAGGAAATGATCGATACTCGAAAGTCAGACTCAATCCAAGAAACTCAAAGCTTACAGAATGGCTGTTCAAAATGCTTCTAAAGCTCTTGTTTTCGCAGCTTTTTGATCATCCTAACTTGACGAATTTATTATTACTAAAAATTACTTTATTTATTCAAGTAATTACTTACTCGAGAGGAAGTCTAATCCGAATCTAAAGCTTAAACGTTCAGGATCAATCTTAACCTTTGAGTGATCATTTTCTTTGATAGGGGAAAAGACCAAGTAAAGGGGTAAATAGAAGGGGTAAATTGGATATTTTGTTGGAAATACCTCTAGGTGTGCTGTGCCATCTCACGAGTACCGTGAACAAACTTCTCACATTTGACTGAAGGTAGGCAACTCGTCCTTCAATCGTGCATTTTAGCAAGTGTGGATTAGATTTTTGGGTGTTATGAATTAAAGTTTAGTACAAAGTGGGTGGGGTTCATGACTTTGCTAAGATAAAACTAAGGATTTAGAAAAGCTTTTGTGTTCTATGGGGAACAATGAATTTTAGTGATGATTCTTTTGATTTGAATCAAAAAAAAGGCAAAGCAAAGTGTTCACAAGAGATATATCAAAAAGAAGTGACAACGGAGAGTCGAAAAAATGGAGAAACATACCGATTTTCTTGTTGACTTTCTTCTGTGTTAACTTGATCAATCGCAAACGGAAATGTTTAGAGCCGAGACAGAAAAGGATGAAGTTTGACGCTTTTCCGAAGATCACCAATGTTCTAAAAATAAAATTTTCTTCTTTTAGTTGGTTTAAAAGAAACTAAAAGAACTAGAGCTGCAAAATCTCTTCTCAAAACTCACGTGCAAATCACTGTAGCATCATAATATTCATGTTGTTGAAGTGAATAGGCTTTTCTCACAATATACTCAAGAGCTGAGGGTCCATTTGTAATTGTAAACATTGTCACAATGAAAGTGACAGTCAAAGTCACTCTATGCTCCGTTTTTGAGAAGTTCGATGCCTCGGCTGATCTTCTGAAACCAAAAAAAATTATAGGAAAATGTTAAAGCTTTGAAACCTTGTATCCGAGCAATGCCCTCCCATCAAGAGATTTCTCTGTCTTCTCCGCAACGCACAAATAAGCATCATATTGAGAACAACCAAAAGAATGATCGGGAAAATGATCATCATCACTAAAATCAGATTTGTAAGCGGAAAAAGAAAGCGGAAAATTGAATATCTTTTGATTTCCAAAGCAAAACCCAACAAATGGGGCAGCTACGCACTGAGTCGGAAAAGCGGAAAACTGCCCATTTGTTGGTTTTTTCTTTGAAAATTAAAAGATATTCAATTTGCCGCCTGCAAGCCTGAATTAATTGAAGAAATTTTTCGAAAAGTATCATTTCATCTCCCTTATTTTGCAGAAATGTTGCCTCTTTTTGTGGAAATTATTTAATTTTAAGCTTTCTTTTTGTCGTAGAACTAATTTTGAGTGAACTTTTAGCGTCGAGGACAGCTTTTTGAGTGATTTGGCTAAATTTTGTAGTATGGAGCAGGTGCCTTTGATTTGATTTGATTTGATAGTGGTTACATAGTTTATGTTACTTTTTGTGTTTTATCTGTTTGTCTTTATCTAAGACTCTTGTTTTTGTTGAATAAATTCTACCACCGTTCTTTCGATCCCGAAGGAAACCTGAACATAATTTGAGCACTTACTTGGATACATCATTACACAGAATGAGATGAAATTTCTCCATTCGATCGAATGGGGATTTGGTCGACCGAAGAGTCTGGAATGGCAAGGATTAATTGGGGAATTGTTCGTTCAAGTCTTTTACTGATCAATGTATCAGTAAAAGACTTTCTTGAAGAAACTTCTTCAACTCACTTATCTCCCGTCGAACTTTGACATCTCGAGTAGACTTGTGTTCTATTACAGTACTCCCTAACTGGGCAGAATTGCTCGAAATGTTGATAGAAAGTGAGAATTCCGGTGATTGAAACGATTGAGATGATCATGACGGGCATCTTCCATCGAGGCCTGCAATGGGATGATTTTTTGGGCACTGAATAGTTTGCATCTCCAACGAACTCACCACGAATCTCTCGCGTACAACGGATTTCGTATTCCCCATAGGCGGTCGGCACACACCGAGATGATACACCTGGAGATGATACATTGCATTCAAAACGTATCAATGACGAAATAGATCAAGCAATGAAGATTTATCAATCAAAGAATCGATCAATCAATCGTTTTTTTTTAGAATCCTATCGTTAAGCTTCAAAAAAACCTCACCAAATCGCCACCGCTGACGACCAATTTGCCATTGCTATCAAATGGATTTTCGTCGTCAAATAAATCCATCGAAAGTAGTAATTGAAGACAAAAATCCCGTAGTTTGCGAAAACATTCGGAAGAACAAGAGACAGAAAAATGATGTCGGCGAATGCGAGGACGGCCAAGAAGGAATTCGCTCTGGAAATGGAAAAGGTGGAAATGGTCAAATGTTCAAAATCTCAACGATTTTCAGCTTTTGAATTCTTTCCGTACTATGTATGCTTTGTTTTCCGAAATATACGCTTTCTGGCGCACTCGATTTTGTCGTTTTCGACACCAAGTCGTTGTCAAAAGTAAAGAAAAGAACTGATGACGCCAGAAAGCTTGTGATATCACAAAGATATCACAAATTGTGACTTTGAGAATAAAATAAAACCCGATGATAAATCTCTTAAGAAACCAAGAATTGGCCAAATCGAGTCAAAAGCAAATCTCGGTGATGCTATATTTTTGATTTCCTAAATCTAAACAAAAGGGAGTTTTTATTAAATTATTATTTATTATTATTATTAAATTATTATTTATTATTATTAAATTATTATTTATTATTATTAAAACTCCCTTTTGTAGAATTCATTAGATACATTCCTTTCCCTTCCTCAAAATAGCCAATCACTGTACTTTCTTTTTTTTTCTCATTCTTCCCGATAAGTGTTTGTTTATTTCTCCAAAAAATTCATTTCAAATTCATTAGTTTTTCTCGTTTTCATTCACGAATTTTTTTTCTTTCTTGGGTACGATTCCTTTTTAGCTTTAAAACGGATTTCATGCGCTTTTTCAGCTTTTTTGGATAGAAAAGTTAAAATTGGAGATTTCCACTGTTTACCTAGGGATTCAATTATCGGGTTTAAAATGAGAAAAAGAGATTCGAGATTCGGCCAAATTTCAATCATTCTTGAGCTTTTGATTTCATTTGTGGAGAAAAGTAGGAAAAGACGCGTGGATTTCTTTTTGACGTTTTCTAGACGGAACGATAGAGCTGAAGGATGATGAACGATGAACGGCGCGGAAATGGGGAAGAATGAATTGTGTTTTGGACTAGTTCACAATAAACTAATAAAAATTCCTACACTACAAAGCACTTCTAATAAAAACTGATTTTGTCGACTTCAGCTTGATTTTTTTTCTCCCAAAATCCCCCCACCTTGATCTCATGCTTCGATTCAGCAGCACCGTCAGATTCAGCGCGTTTCCCATGATGCCGAAAGTGGCGATCGCCGGGTAGATGTACCTGAATTTGATGCTGAATTTTTGCTTTTTTTTTGCTGAATTGCTCATATACATGCTTGCAATTCCCTTTTGAACAATTTCATCAAAAATTCTTCTCTTTCCAGTCAAACTCATCTAAACAACGTGGCCAAATCACCTCAATTTTATGATTGGCTTGGTTTTTCCCGAGAAAACTCCCTTGTTTTTGCGCAAATTTGGCCACTTTGAAAGGGAATAAGAAAAAAAAATCTATAAACTTAAAAAGAAACACTTGAGTTTTGATTTAGCAATAGCTGATCAAAAACAATAGCTGATCGAAACCAGCGACTAGTCAGTCTCCATTGGTGATAGATCTAGTACAGATACCGTATTCTCTCTAATAGTAGTGCACTCCGCCGAGCCGAGTTGGTGACTATTTTACGGTTTCGATGCTTTCGCAGTAGCTCAACACTCAAATCTCTTAAAAGATCTCATCGTCAGCTACATTTTCCGACCCCACATCGATAGGTTCTGATAAGCGCTTCTCGAGATTTCGAGGAATTTAGGCGACACTCTGGGTGCACTACTATTAGAGAAAATACGGTATATGGACTTGTATCTTTAGATCTAATACCTTTAGATACCTAACACATCGACATCTTTGGATTACATATCACAACTCACCTCCGGATCAGTTATCGGAGATTTAATACGCGCCCACCCCTTTTCCCATTGGCAATCTAACTTTGAACTCAAATAGCTTTGTGTTGGGCTGTTGAATTTGATTATTCTTGGTATCATTAGATGCGCCAGGTCTTTCTCTGTCGATTGGTACAAAAACTATTCCAATTTGACAGCCGAACACCGAGAAATTGGAGTTTAAAGTTGTCAATGGTAAAGGCGGCGGGACGCGTATCAAATGACCCACAATCCTACCGATCTACATCGGTTGATTTTGCATTGATCAGGTATTACAGTTTCGATTAGAGAATTCATCAAACAATAAGACAGGTACTAGTTCACTTTACAGTTTACATGAATTTATATACAGAAATTGTGCCATGTACTCGTACCTTTGTAGATTGTACTCGAGCTCAGTCCCATGCACCATCATTTGCTTTTCGGTGAGGCAAATGTGCGAGAAATTGACGGCCGTGGTCGCCATTCCTTAAAAAATTAAAGAAATTAATTAAAGAAAATACAAAAAAGAATTATTTAGTTAAAAGATACGGTAAAATAAAATTTTTAATTTTAATTCGTTTTTAAAACTAAATGAGCACTACGAAGCCCCGTTCTAGACACAAAATACTAAAGAATTCTCAGTGATGAGTTCGTTCTTTTCTCAGACAAAATGGGGATTTTTGAGGGATCACGGGTAAACAAAATTTCGGTTAGAAATTAAGGAAATTCGCGGAGGAAAAGGGCGGATTTTTGAGCGGGAAAATGAAGTGAAAGATTGGAATTCAGAGATGAGAATTCTGGGTGGTGTTTTATTGGAAATTCTTTGGTTTGTATGGGGTTTTTTTTGAAGATTTTTTTGTTTGTTGAGCGAACTTTGAACGGATGGTGAACACGTAGATCGGAAGATGAGAACGAGGATTCAAGAGGAAGAGGAGAACGAGGATTCAAGGGGATTTCAAAGTGTCACGAAATTCAATGAGGAAAATGTTCAGTGAACTCGAAATGAGGCGAATTGGAGATCTGTTCAATTGTTGAGAATAAGAAGCACTGGGATTTTGGAAAGCTTTTTAGAAGATTTCTAACACGATAACGCGAGTATTCATGCAAGTTGCTCCACAAGACACTGACAGCGCACAAAATCGGCACTGTCGCTTGGCCCGCTTGCAGCCCAGACTTAAACAGATTGAGAATGTGTGGGGGGCACTCGTTCGAGATGTCTACAAGGGAAACAAGCGATATTCGAGCGTGGATGAACTCAAGAAAGCCATTCAAGTAGCCTGGAATCGGCTCCAGCCAACAGCGCTCCGTGACCTTGTCTCTTCGATGCCGAGACGTCTTTTTGAAGTTGGGCTAAAGCAAGGAGGGGCCACACATTATTAATTTATTTGGTTTGTGTTGTTATTTTTTTTTCTGTTAACTTTTTCTTGATAAAATAAAAGTGCGTCTATAATTTTTTGACAGCTGATAAAGCGTTTTTTGTACGATAAAGTACTTTGGATGAGTGAAATGAATTGAAATTTTGCATGGGTTGTTTTTTTTACACTAAAGAAACTAAAAAATACTTTTCACTGGACTAGCACTTATATCCGGCTCTAAACTAGCAAAAAACAGGGTGCGTCTATAATTTTTTGACAGAGTGTAGTACAGTCGCGTAGTCGCAAAATTTTTTTTAGTATTTCATTTTTTCAAAGCGCCCGTACTTTCAAAAAATGCGTGTTTGGTATCAAAAAATAGCTCTGAATTTCAGCTATTTTTTGATACCTAAGCGAGCATTGTAGCATAAATCAGCATCGAGAAAAACTCGTTCAAAGTTAGACTACACACCACTCCGCACCGTCATTATGGGGGTGGGGTACTATTACAGTATTTACGGTAAATTAAGCTCAAGGTAGTCTTTGCTAACAAATCTTTTAGATCTTACCATCTACTTCTACTTCTACTTCTTACCAATCTACTTTTTCAGCATCATAGATCTTCAACAAGTTGCCAATAATTTGTGCCTCTATACTAGGACAAGAATAAACGTTAATGACAATGAGACAATGAAAGGAGCGATCAAATTTCGATGAGAGGGAAAAATTGATGATTGTGAACGATCTTCGACCCTGGGAAAAGAATTGCTGATGTTTTCAATTGGAAATATTCGAGAGGGATGAGAATGGAATAAAGTAGAAAGGAGATGGATGAGAATGGAATAAAGTGCTCAATAAACTCATGGAATTCACTGAAACATTGAACGATTTTAATCACCTAAAGAGCTGGATTCACCTAAAGAGCTGGATTCACCAGTTTTCCTGAACATTTCAAAAATAACAAAAAAAAACAGTGCTGGAATTGAACAGAATATCTAGCTTGGCACGAACAAGCTGTTTTCAACAAGTTGTTTTATTTTCACATTTCTCTTTTGTTCGGGAAAAATCTGTTTATTGAATAAATATCCCAGATGACTGGGTTTGAATTTTTTGTTGAATTGTCGAAAAATTGTTAGAAACGAATTACCTAAAGAATACCTCAAGAATACCAGAAAGATTAATCTCTTCTAATCTCTCTAAACACAGAAAATGCAGTGTTTGGGATTTGGCGAGCCGACGGAAATGAGAATGAGGCGATGGAAATGATGAAAAGAATGAGGTGAAAGAGCGAATTGTGGATGAGGACAACGAAAGGTTTCGAAAAAATTTGAAAAAAATAAGTTGAGATCTAAAATATTTACATATTTAGCTAATGAGAAAAAGAGAGTTTCTTTGTGATTTCACTTTAGAGCTTGGAAAAAGAAAGTTGGCAAAACTGAATGATCCAAAACTTAATCTTCAAATTTCTACCAGATTTTCCATTTTAATCTATTTCTAATTCAATCTAACAATAAGTTGAATCTTTATTGAAACTAGGGAATTATTCTGAGCATGACTGTTGCTTTTCTTTCAATATTGCCTCAAGCGAAACCCCGTTTGGCAAATAATGAGATTCTTTTTCAAAGAAAGGGTGATTGAAAGAAGATCTTTGAAAGAAAGAAAGAAAAGAAGAAAGAAAGAAAGAAAGAAAGAAACTACAGTATTTTTGAGTGAAGAACTGATGAGAAAAGAAAAAGAGAAAGTTATTCAAGGAAACCTAGTTAAAAGATTGGTTCTTATAAGGAGTAGAGGAGGGGAAAGGGGTAAGGAGTGGACAAGGATCAGGAAAGGAAAGAAGAAAACCCGCAGCAGAAGCTTGTGGGAAAGGAAATTGCAAAGAAATTAGGGGAAGGGGGAGTTGCACCTGATTTTGAAGAATTCTAACGTTCCGGGTACTAGGAGTGCATAAAGAATTTACTCTAGTCTTTAGGAGTTGAGTAGAACAGAGTTCACTGAATAGCAACGATTGACTAATAATAAGATAAAACAAGGTTACGGTACTTGTTAGTGCGCTAGATGAGTTGGGTTGCAAAAATGAATGGTCTATTACTGAAAAATGAATGGCTATTCAAAAATGAATGCTACTTTTGCTAGTTACTGATGCTTATAGTTAGTGCAAGCTTGTTTATTTGGAAAGTATTGGTGTTGAAAGACGAGAAGAAGCTTGATTCTTCTTGATTCTTCTTGATTGTCCTTCTTGATTGTCTTCAAATTCTATTTATAACTATTCTTCTATTTCCACGGCTTTTCTTAAAAGCGATCTCAAAACAAGATTCGTAACTCCGAAGGGAATTAACCTTTCCCCTCTCGAATCTCTCTCGAATCCCTTTCCCAAAGTAAATTCGAATTTGTTCCGGGTATTCAAGAAAAAAAAAAAAGAGAAGCTCTTTCCGTAAATACTCTCAGTAAATAAGAAAGTAAATGGAGTGTGCCAGGAAATGCGTGTTTATCGCAACAGATACAAACAACAGATACCGTATTTCTTCGAATAGAAGATCGGGTAAAGAGCTCAAAGTGTACTTTGGGCTCACTTGTAAATGTACCCTTCCCGGCGCACTGAAATCCTCGCTTTCTCGCGTTAGAAAAGGAATTTCAGTGCACCGGAAAGAGTGGGTTTACAGATTTGAGCACAAAGTACAAAATGAGTTGACTGATTTGTGCAAATGTTGATTTGCATATGAAAATAGTTTTTTGTTCAGCTGAATCCGCGAAAGAGAGCAAAGAAGGCGCTGAAGGAGCGCCAGAATTCGTTGAACTTGTCTTCTATTCGAAGAAATACGGTATATAAAGATAAAAACGACTCAATCAGTTAGATTGGAATCGTCGAAATCCAGATTGAAATGCAATAGTTCTACAAATCCTTTTCAACCTCTTCTCGAATCAACACAAATCTGCCTTCAATCGGTTGGTCATTCACCTGTGAAAAATTTCTAGAAATATTGTTGAAAAGCATTGTTTCTCTCAGTGCACAGACTAATCCATCACGAGTTTTTATTGAAAATTTTCAAAAATCTTGCAAAATTCCCGATGAAACCCCGATTGCAGACTGCTTTTGTAAGTTTTGTTCTCAAGGAATGAAATACAAAGAGCGAGGCTGAAGATTTTGAAGAGGCAGTTAGGTGACCAAAAATTGAGAAAGGTTTCTTTGTGAAAACAACTCTTTTCATGGATTTAATAGAAAGCAGAATAATAGGAATTAAGAAAGCAAAAACAAATGTGAATCTGAAAATTTTCTGGAAAATTTATGGGTTCCTAGTGATCTTTTGGCTGAGGATGATAGGATTCCCTGGGGAAAGTCATTTTTGAGAAAAGAAATTGGAAAGATATAGGTGTAAGGATGGCTTTTGGGAAAAAATGACTGCAAAATGGGCAAAATGAATGATGAACTAAAGAACGAAGTTTGTAAAGAAGAGAATTTCTCAAAAAGTGGACATGGTGACGTTTTGGTGAGGTGTGGAGTGATCAGAGACGAAAAACGACGAGTTTGAAGTTTGAGATTTCATAAGAGTCTTCATCTTCATCTTCAAAAATCTTTAAAATATTAACTTTATCAATGGATTTATTCGTTGACGCTTGAAAATAAATGCTAATTTCTCTGGGAGTTGGGTACGAGAGGGCAAAAACATGAGCAACACTTCATTTATCTTCTAGGAAATGTAATCTTATTGAAGGATTGCAAAAAATAAGGATATTTAAACTAAAAAAGGATATTTAAACTATTAGGTTGTTCGGATATAAACGAGCGTTTTAGTAGTCGACAAAATTGATCTTAAAAACAGAAACAACACAGTTTAATCTAAAATATATTCACCATTATTATTGATTACTTCTTGCCATCTTTTGCGCAAAGAATTGATGCCGCTCTTGAAAAACTCTGCCGGCTGTGACTCGAAAAACTTGGCGACCCAATTTTGGTCATCTTCACGGTTTTTGAATTTCTCATTGGCCAAAAAGTTTTGAATCGACCGGAATCAAAGGTAATCTAAGGGAGCCAAATCGGGAGCATACGGCGGATGTGGTAAAACCTCCCATCCTAGATTCTCTAGTTTTTGCTGAGCCATTTTTGCAACGTGAGGTCTAGCGTTGTTATGGA